TTATCTCTTTATCCCGCTGCTGCATTTACATTAGCGTTGGATCTCCTCGCGTTCGGCCTTTCAGTCGGTTCTTCGTCCACAAGTTATCATGTAAGCCGCCTTCACTTCGCCCTTGAATTCACGTTTTCTGGCTGTAGGAAACCATTCAAGACGAGATTTCATCTGATCACACCAGAATCAGATGCACTCCCAAGAGAGGAGAGGTAGCAAGCGGCTTAGCTATCAGAGCTGCCGTGTGTTTGCTTCTCGGCCAAATTACCGCCACAGACACCACAAAATGCACTTGCTGTTCTTCGTCGCTTCATCGACGCGGATGCAAGATCCCTGCAATTATCCTCCTCACTCTTTCCTGGTATTTTCAGCAAAAAAATAAATAAATAAATCATTTATTTAAAAGATCAACTTATGTGGTAATGGCAGGATCTCTTTCGTGATCGCTGAACTCCTTGAACACGGCGGCCAGCCTCAGCAGTTATCAAGTGGAAAGGTTTGAAGAATCTGGTTGCAGCACTGTTCTGCAAGGCGTGAGTGTTGTGGGTGGTGCTTTTACACTCGTCACTTTGCTGCTCAGCATTGCCTACTTGTCCGTCTGCATGAGCGGCATGAAGAAACCGAAGAAGAAGACGAGCACCGACGAAACAAGCCGGATTGTTGATATGGAAGTCGCAAAACCAGTTTAGATAGAAGCTGTAGGCTAGCGCTGTATAAGATCGATGATTCAGTTGACAGAGATGTGTGTTTCTAGCACCACCATCAGCCCAGCTCTGGACGTCTCGCTGCTGAAATCCTGCGCTCTTACCAGAAACTTAGCCAGAGGGAAACAACTTCACAGAGAGATCCATGCGTCCTGGCAAACAAACAACACAGTCCTCTGCAATCTGCTCGTTCAGATGTACGGGAAATGCGGGAGTTTGCCTGATGCTCGCGAAGTGTTTGATAGTGTTAAACAGCCTAATGCGTTCACTTGGAACATCATGATCCGTGCATATACAGAGAATGGTCAATTGCTGCAAGCGAGGATTTTGTTCGATAAGATGCCGATCAAGAATGTGGTTTCCTGGACGACAATGCTGGAAGCCTACGGAAGAACTGGTGGTCTTGGATCTGCTTGATTCGATGCCTGATCGTGATCTAGTCGTCTGGAACGTGATGATGGAAGTGTTTGCGCAGAATGGTCCTCTACTGCAGGGTAGAAGCTTGTTTGAGAGCATAAAGATGTGGCTTCCTGGACGACGATGATCACTGCCTACTCGCAGATGGGTGATTTAGACTCAGCAAAAGATTTCTTCGATCGGATGCCGTATCGAAGCGTCGTTTCCTGGAGCGCGATGCTCACGGCGTACGCTCGCAACGGCAAAGTCGAGGATTCGAGGAAGGTTTTTGAAGGAATGCCTGAGAGGAATGTTCTGGCCTGGACAGCCATGTTGGCTGCGTATTCAGTACGGACATTTGGACGAAGCGAAGAAGGTTTTCGAGTTGATGCCCGAGAAAGACGTCGTCTCTTGGAATGTGATGATATCTGGTTACGCTCACACGAAGCATTTTCGCGAGGCCGAGACATTGTTCGAAGAGATGCCGAGGAGAGACCTGGTTTCGTGGTCGCTGATGATCTCCGCGTATGCTCAAAACCGCTCGAGCAAAGGAATGCCTCAGCAGAATCTCATCGCCAGGAACACGATCGTAGCTGCGTACGCTTCGGAGGGCGATTTGGGACTTGCGAGGACGGTGTTCGATGCGATGCCGGAGAAGAATGTCGTATCGTGGACGACGATCGTTAGAGCGTATGCGCAAAACGGTCATTTACGTGAGGCAAGGGTGTTGTTTGAAAAGATGCCTGAGAGGATGTCGTGACCTGGAACTCAATGGTCACAGCCTATGCTCAGAACAGACTGGTTGATCAAGCTGTGGATGTCTTGAATCAGATGCCTTGCAGAGATGTGGTTTCCTGGAACGTTACGATTCCGGCGTATTCGCACAACGGGCATAATCAGCAGGCCATCGCGTTGTTTCGAAAGATGGATCTTGAAGGCTTGCAACCCAACGAGATCACCTTCGTTACGATCTTCGACGCCTGTGCAACGGTCTCGTTGCTCAGAGTCGGGAAGTCTGGATTCAGCGCGTTGGAGCCGGTTTCGACGTCGATCCTGACAATGTATGGGAAGTGCGGGAGTCTGGAGGAGGCTCGTCGGATCTTCGATGCGATGCCTGAAAGACGCACTGTGTCTTGGAGTGCGACGGTATCTGCATATGCACAGAGTGGTCATGGCCTGCTAGCTCTGGATCTCTTCAAGGAGATGGGTTTGGATGGAGTTGAACCGGATGGAATCACCTTCATCGCGGTGCTTTCGTCTTGCTGTCACTGTGGGGAGCTGAAAGACGGGTGGACGTATTATGTGAGCTTGAGAAACGACTATGGTGTTGATCCCATGGCTGAGCATTACATCTGCATCGCCGATCATCTGGGAAGAGCAGGAAGGCTGGCTGAAGCTCAGGATTTGATTCACAACATGCCCTTGCATCCTAGTCCCGTTGCTTGGACTCAGCTTCTTAGCGCATACAAGATTCATGGGAATAACCAAACGAAGCTGAATGCAGATGAGCTTGCTCAACAAGTGCAGAAGTTGGATGAAACGAACTCGTTCTGTTACGTGCTGCTCTCAAACACATACGAATCTTGATTTGAAATAGGTTTTCAACATTTCAGTGAGAACTATAGTGGGAAATTTTCAAACTTATTTCCCGGATGACATGAGTTGATCAAGATAAGTCCTCTCAGATTTTCAGGACAAATGACATTAACACTAGGATTACAAACTCTTAAATATATTATTTTGCTTTCCAAAATAAAATATTTAAAATTTTGTAATCTTACATCTGTCTATAGCTAACATTCTTAAAGTTAACAAGTTTTCCTATCATTCATTCCTTCGTTCAATCCATTCATTCATTTATTCATTCATTCATTCATTCATCACACAAACACTAGAGAGTAATAGCTATATGTTAATGGTTATGTTAGCGTTTTCTTCAGGTGTCATTCATCCATCAATCACAAAGATTTGAGTTTGTTTGTTGTTAAAATTTAAGTTTATAATCTTACATATACTGCAGTCATGACTTCCACAATTCATGCTGCAATCAAGCAGGACCTCCAGGCACTTCATGGCACACTGACAGAGGACACACCCACAACCAAGTTATGGACATCCCTCTATCATGTAAGCATTTGTTAAATTTTGATTTTGTGCAGATTTGAAAATACTTGATCGGGGTCTGGATGGCTTGTGTGCAGGGTGGGTAAGTGGCGCTGCTGCTGGGGTAAGAGATCCAACGAGCTTGCCTTGAATTATGTTTGAATTGAAACTGATCGCAGGCACATCAACACTAGCTTGACGACGATGGAAGGGTGAGAACTCCGAGCGTTCTGCGAGATCACCGAACTGGAGTACATTCTCGAACCGGGCCGGCTCACTCTCGAGTTTATGGACGTGTACAGGATTCGCGGCAGCATTGACTTGCCGGAGCTGACAGACTTCGCAGACTATATAGTGACTACGAGATCTTCACGAGCACACCTTTTGTCCCGAGTTGGGAGGATCTTTTTATACCATTCTTTCTAGAGCTCCCATGATACTCCCTCGGAGCCAAACAAATAAAGAAATTAAAGGTACCTCTTTGGAAAAGTGGCGATTCTACGTAACACCAAGAAAAAATCACGGGTGCAGTGATCGGATCGGAGCTCTTGCTCTCGAAGCTGAGCCAGAGGTTCTCGTTTTCAAGTCGAGGGTTGACCACTGCTGGGTTTTAGTTTTTGCTCCACGCACGCAACGCTTTCTCCACTTTGCAGGGCTTGGAGAGGCCAAATAAAGGAATAGAGAAGAAAGAAACTCACTGTGAATCCAAGATATCACAGCTGTTCCTCCGTGTTTTATGTGGCTGCTTTCCTGTGGAGCTCCAACACATGTAAGTCAGTCAGTGTAGCGCAGCTCTGGAAGAAAAGTGTTGATAGATTTTTCCATTTGCAGCGAAGAGAGCTGCCAAGGATCGAGTGAGGAGATGGAGGGCCATCCTTCTCCTCTTCCTCCCCCTCCTCCTCTTGTCATCGAGGCCGCGTGAGCTCCTCTTCGATCCGGAAGCCGACGGTGATCACCCTAGCACCAGAAATCCCCCGCCAAGAACAAGAGGACGAAATCCCTGGATTGATCCGCTGCTCCTACTCTGGCCACAAAACCTCGCGGAGCCACCACGCCGGCGCCAAGATCCACAGCTCCTCGCGAAATCACGACGACAAGATCAAGATTCCCGAGAATGTGCCCGCGGAGGAAGATATCCAGCATAGTTGCAGCTAGACGTGCAAACGTTCAAACGCGTCCACGTTTAAACGCCGTTTAAAACGTTTTTTTCAGGACAATCAAACGTTTACATGTTAAAGCCTAAAATGATTAAGAAAACACTAATATTTACTAAAGACACTTTAATCTAATATTAAGTTTATAAAACCCAACCGAATAACATACTAAAACAAATGAAAGAAGAAGCCGTTTCGCTGTTCTGCTTGTCTCAGCACTGGACCAGTTCTCCGTGCTTGCCACCATAGATTCTGCTGGCCCCCCTGAACCCTGTGCGGCTTGCTGCAGCAGATGCCCATCATCGGCATCTGCTGGGTCTGCTACCTCGAAATCGGAAAAACTGCTGCGAGGTTTTTTAAGGGTTCATGGCAGGAATTGGAGGACGCCGCAAATGCTGGAGCTGGAAGCATGTGATACAAGCAGAGCGGCACTGGACATGTAAGTATTGTCATGAGATTCACACTGGGGGAGCGGAGCGAGTCCGAGCACATCTTGCTGGAGTTTGGGCAAGAGGTGTGAAAACGTGCAAGGCAAAATAGTGCAAACGCGTTGGGAGTTTAGAACGGCGTTTTTTAACGCGTTTAAAACGTTACGTTTTTTTAGTTTCATACGTTTTCCGGCAACTGGCAGCGCCTCCGTGGGAAGAATCCACGCCCGTGGCACAAGAGCAGCATCGATTCCTGCCGCCAATCCGGCTCCCGGGCTGCCATCTCTGTTGGAGCTCCGGAGACGCCGTCGCGCCGCGCCACCGCGCGAGGAAAGGTAAGACGGTGGAAGCCGAATCGGAGCCATGGAAATCGAGGAGCAAGCCGCCACGGCCAGAGCCAGTGCTGGAGCCGGCAGTGCCGACAACAAAGAAGAGCTCTTCTCCAGGGCGAGGCCTCCACAGGAGGCACAGATTGACGGCGACGAGGATGTCATGCGCGATGATCTTGCAGAGGTGCCCAAGCCCGTGGATGACACAAGTCAGCGCAGCCAGGGGGTCCCCAGCCAGGCAGCCTCGCCGCCGCCTCCAAACCGCTTCTCCCGACGTGGATTGGCCTCGCGCTTCTCCTCTGTCGCTGTTCTCCGCCAGAAGATGGATCACGTCGCTTGGAAGGGGAGCGGGAGGCTTTAAAGGTCCAAGCTATACGAGCTTGTACCAAGGCAGCGCAGAAAATCCTGGCAGGACCTCTCTCGCAGATCTTGCTCCCGGATTGCAGCAAATTTCGGAGCAGGGCTGCCCGAGCTGACGTCCCTTTCTCTCGCGAGCGTGAACCGACGAATTACCGAGCGAGCTCATGGTGGCCATGGGGCCGAAACTAGAGGAGCTCAGTATCTCACATTGCAGGTAACCAACCGTCTGTGCTGCTTTGGCTTCTTACTGAGATCCGCGGGATGTTTTTTGTGCAGCGTTACGGTGGCGGCTGTTGCAGCTTGCGGTTCGACTCTGAAAAGCTTTGCACTTCGAAGGCTTGGAGCTTACAGACGGCACCTTTCAGGTGAATCTTTACTGCCTTTCTTCTCATCTGTTACTTACACAAGCTTTGTTTTCTTCTCAGTGACGAGGTACTGGCGGACTTCGTCACGGCCGCTGGAAGCTGTTCATCGCAAGCGTGAAAAAGGCACGTCTCACTGCGTTCTTCGTCAGGCCCTTTTGCCGCAGAGCGACCGAGGACGGGTTTGGATTCCTTGTCCCAATCTCGTGGAGCTCAGACTCTGCTCGTCTTCGAAAAAAAAACGCGATTCTTTAAACAATTTTAAAGAAAATTGTCCGCCATAGCCAGGGTTAGGGTGAGCAAATTTTCCCTCCATGTAAAATCTAGGGTTCGTCGTCTCCGCAGCTTCCATGGATGTTGTGATTGTGGCGGTCGCGGGTGCTTGTGTTGTCATTGCGGCAACTTGCATTGCAACCATGCTCATCATCAACCTCCTCACCAAGAGCGTCATCACCATGGCTTCTTCAACCAGGGGAGCAGCGAAGGAGGATCTACAGGCTCTCCGTGGAGCTCTCAAGGAGGATCTGCAGGCTCTCCGTGGAGTTCTCAAGGAGGACCTTCCCAGCCTCAGGCAGGTGATACAGGATTTTGGTGCCTTGAGGGAGGAACTGAGGATGCTGCGAGATGCTCTGCGAGCTGAGGCAGCCCAGGGCCAAGCTAATCCGGTAAGCATTTGTGAAGTTCTGGCTTGTGCGAATCTTGAAATTATTTGCTTGATCATCCAGTGGTGTGCAAACCGCACAGAAGTGGCGCTGCTGCTGCTGACCATGTTCAGTGATCGGTAGTTGATTCATAGGAAGTTCGACAAAACTGTTTTGTTTTTCGACAGGGAAAAATCTTCTGATTCGGATCTTCGTTTCCTCGAAATAAAATGACTCATGTCTTGGTTTCCTCGAAATAAAATGACTCATGTCTGAGCTTTCTGATAGTAAGTCATTTCCGGGCAGGAACATAGACATGGACGTGGCTTGGCAGTGTCTAATATTACTTGCTTGTAGGTGGATCAGTGTAACTATTTATTCAGCAGACCCGGGTTGTTTGAACACGATTCAATCAAAGCTTTCAAGTTTTCTGTCTTCAAGTAGACCCGGGTTCATGCAGCTTAGCTGACGGCTCGTGCAGACTCACTGGACCTGAAACATGGAGAGCTGAACGAGGAGATGGAGATCACCTCGATCTCCATTTCCTTATCATGCATTTCCTGAGTCGGGGCCCTTGCGAGAGAGCCACTGGCCAGCTCTGGAACGAGTTCCTACAGCACAAGTTCTTGCCCCGGAGGTACCATGAATTTTTCTCCAGGAATGGGACGCCCACCGCTGATGAAAATGACGATGTTTGTCGTTCCCACTCCGCGACGCGCAAGTTGCCGAGGTACTGTGTGTCGCGAAATCCTTTATTGGTTTTCCATGTTGACAAGGAGATGATTTGCAGGTGTAAGAACGTTGACAACAAGCTCTTGCAGCAACTGCTTGTTCGCGTGATGCGAAAGTTCCCAAGCAGACGTTCCTCCCCTTTCGGGATCAGGAGCATTCCCGCTTTTGGAATGTAAGCCTTGTCTTTTCGAATCTTTTCGAATCTTGCCGTTGCTGATCCGAGCAAACCACTGGCAGCGGAGCAAAGAAATGCTACAAGTATCTCTACGAAGCGAATAGACCAATGCATTGGCAAGCTGACCAAGTTCATGCTCTCGAACTTGGTGGTGGATTTGCAATGCATCGCAGTAGAAAATAGGCTTCGCCTTCGTAGCTGCGGAGGTTTGGACTATGCAAGAACCTGGCTGGCTGGCTGGTTTCGATTACTGTGCTTAAAAACCTGGCTTTTTGTGGGAGATAGCCGATTTGTCTGTAAGTAGTTCGAACACTTTAGTTGCATCAGCTTCTAACGATTCCTCCTGTTTTTTGTTTTGATTCGTTTTGCTTCTGCCTTTAGTGGGGATTACCAGATGGTGTTCCGGTTGCAACACTTCGTGACCACGTGACGGCCATCAAGTTTAGTCCCCGACCTGAAGACGGAACCTCTGTCAATTCACGTGTCTACATGCCGAAGCCGGATGTCGAGCCCGAATGTAAAGAGTCTGCCGATGTTTTTTTGGTCTTCTAAAAGCTTGTTTCCAGCTGCAGGAGCTGAGAATGGAGCACAGGCTACGAATCAGATTCAGTTCTGTGTGTTTAATGTAGATGGATCATATTTCGTCACTGGGAGTTCGGACAAGCTTGCCAGGGTAAGCCTTAAAAGTGGACTTTTTATATTTGTAGCAATTGTTTGAACAGGTTTGGGACGCAAGAAAGTGGATGGACGAGTACACACCGGAAGGCGAAATTATGAGCATGACATTTTCAGTAGCCACGAGAATGAAGTTAACTACGTGCAGTTCAGGTTCGCGTCTTTGTTGACATCAATCGTCCTTTGTTCCAGTGGTTGTGCCGAGCCAATCAAAGTTTCTTCCGTCGACTTTTTCAAGGATGACAAGGTAAAGACATCTTATGGGGCTCTCATGGAATAACATGGATGTGCAGATTGCCGAGACTTACGTGCCAGATGTACATCCATGCAATCCTCATATTGCAATGAGTCCGGGCTACGATGGCAGAGGTACTGTCTGGGATGTAAAAGTGTTCGCTCAAAAGAATGATGACGAATATCACTTGATTGTTTTAGATTTGGCAGGGCCATCCAGTAAGAACATATGAGACTGGAGATTATAATCTTGTCGATGACAATTTTCACCGTATGCTTGCTCTCATATCCATTTATCCTGGATTTCACGTTTGCTAATTTTCGGGGATGGAACCTCGTTGGTAGTCAAGACGACGAAGGTGCGTAATACGATCGGGTATCAGGAAGATTTTGCTTTTTATCTTTCATCCAATAGCTTGTTGTTTTTGCATTTATTATTTATTATTTATGTTTTTTCTAGTTTTTTCTTGGAGATTATCAGCCGAGATACTCATGGAAACGTTCTCGATCAGGTAAATAAAATTATGTAAGTGCTTTTATTTAGTTTTAGTCCTGAGTGTTGTTCTTTTCCGGTATTGTTCTTGCAAAAACTGAGTATCTTTCTTTTACAGGAAACTCAGTTGCCTCCTCATTAAAGGAATCTTCAGGATCTCTTGTGCGATGCAAGTAAGCTGGTGACTTCTTAGAGGATGCTTACAGGCCCGAGGAAGAGCAACCTGGACGTGGACGATATACAAATGAAGTGAACAACGCCGTCTACGGCCTCGCAAACTTGCGACTAAGAGTGAGCCTTATGAAGCCGACGAGCACGCTTCAGGTGGCCGCAGGCGAAGTACACGGCTGGCGTAGGGTCGCGTGGTTAGTCTCTCCAACAGCAGGTGCACAAGACGCAGGAGAAACGTCGGCCGTCCTTCACACTGGGAAGCTAGCTCGTCGGACTGGGATGGAAGCAGCGACGACGATGGACGCCGAAAGCCCGAAAGAAGAACTTCGAGCAGACTGAAAGTGAAGCTGCAGAAGAACGTTGGGTCGAGGTACAAGGATTTCCATGAAGAGAAACCTCAGCACCGAGCAACGTGTCCTGGTTACTCTTGACAGAGGTGGAGCGGACGCGCTACATTCCACAGTATGGTGATGAGGTGGTGTACTTCCGATAGGACTGGAAAGTGTCGGGGAACACTTGTTGCCGGCTGACTCTCGAGTTCATGGACGGGTACAGGATTCGCGGCAGCAGCTTCAGCGTCGACTTGCCGGAGCTGACAGACTACGCCGACTTTATAGCGGAGAGAAACCGAGGCCTCCTTGGCCAGGAACTGGTCCAGTCGGGACAAGTGGAGGTCGGACGAGGAAGAAGGTGGTCGCTGGTGGGAAGGGACGATAACTCAGGTGAAGGCAAAGTCGCCCGAGTTTCCATACAGCAGGACGAGCCATCGACGACTGGGAGCTTCACGACGTTGAGAATCCTTGAACTTGGGAGCCGCCACAGATCGAGCAGGACAAGGCGAGCTGCTCGACATCGTGACGAGGTGCTCCGCCCCAACCAACAGGTTTGTTTTAGTGTGATCGATCATAGACTCGGAGGAGTTTTGGTTTTGCTCTTGGCTTGACGAGCTTTTGCTTTTCGCAGGACGAGTGCTGTGAGCAAGCCGGATTTTGTAGACAGGCAAGTTGGAAAAATCTCTTTTGCGATTGAGAAAGAAGCTAAAAGCTTATAAACTATGCAGGATTGCGCTACCATCTCCATGGACGTGATTCGCGAGCGGCTAGACTACCGTAGCGTGTTGTCGTTGTCACACGATATTAGGATACTGATGGTGTTGGGAAACAGCGCGGCTGAGGCACTGCAAATGTCAGCTTTGTAAGAATTTTCTCGAGGTCAAACACGAGATCATTCCTACGAGAAAACGAGCACACCGATTTGTACCTGGAAAACCACATCAAAGTCAAGCTTTGAGTCGGTTTAAGGATGAAAGCTTCTAATTCTTTCTAGCCAGATAGAAGCCAAACGGGTACTCTCTCAGAGCCAAACATGCGGTGGGGTGATCGGGTCGGAGCTTCTTCTGGAAAGGAATTAGCACGCATGCATACTTTTGTTTCACGAGCAGGGCTTGGGAAAAACTCACTGTGAATCCAATGCATGCGGTTTGCAGCTTCGAGGTGGATCGAAGGAGAGGAGAGATAGATTCATCCCTTCATGCGGCTGGGGAGCTCCAACACCTGTAAGTCACACTGGAAGAAAGTGTTGATAGACTTTACCATTTTTGCAGCGAAGAGAGATGGAGCGCCATCCTTCTCCTCTTGTGCTCCATAGCATCGAAGCCACGCCGTGCCTGGAGTCTTCGATCCGGAAGCCCACTATCAGGTAAGAGGTCGTGATCGTCGTGCGCCCGCCTGCCCACTGCCGCTCTACACCGAGAATCCACGCAGCAGCATGGATTCGCGCGGCCAATCCGGTAGCGCGCTTCCCAAGCAAAGACGCACACCACTGTACGAACGGAAAGTGCACAAGTGGCCCATGGTACGTAACCTCGTGACCGAGGATCGAACACCCGACGTCTGGTGCCCCGATATTTTAGGGTTCTTGCGACGGAGAGGCCGTCGTGCGCCGCGCCACCGCGCAGGAGAGCGATGCGTAGGAAACGTAAGGCGGTGGAATCCGAATCGGAGGCCGAGCTCGGCACAGGGCGCGTTCTATGCCTACAGCGCCGACAACACGCCACTCGATGATCTTTGGAGGCGGCGGCTCCACGCGCTTCCGCAAGATCATCGCCCATGAAATCCTCGTCGCCGTCAATCTGTGCTCCGGGATTGCAGCAGAAGAGCCCTAACGATCTGCTAGGCTTGGAGCCGGAGAAGAACGACTATGACTGGTAAGCTTCCATAGCCAGGACGAGCAAAGCTTGCAAGAATTCTCACACTTTCTTCGCGTGGTATAAGCTGCTAATCGAGCTTCTCTGCCAGAAGATCGATCACGTCGAGTCCTTGGAAGGGGTGCCGGAGGCTTTAAAGCCGTGCATTACGTCCAAGCTATACGAGCTTGTCCCAAGGCAGTGCAGATAATCCTGGCAGGACCTCTCACGCGGATCTTCATCCCAGGAGTTGATGGAAAACTCTCCCCTCGATGGAGTCCAGGTTGCTCGCTCTCTCTCTCTCTCTCTCTCTCTACCCGTTTACAATGTATAACTTTTTTTCTTTCAGGCTTTGGAGCTCGGGTTCTGTGGCCGAGCACTCTCCGACCAAATGCTGCAGAGATTTGCGTTTCCACAGCTGAGAAAGCTCCGGCTGCATGGGAACTATCGGCTGTTAGACTCGGAAGTGCGGGCACTGATACGATCTGCCACCAGAGGTTTGAGGGACGTATCTCACCGAGGCGTCCGTCCAGGAGCTAGCAACCTTTCACGGGCGATATGCGATGCGATTCTTGGCATTTTGAAGCTTCTCGAGCTGACGTTCCTTTCTCTCGCGAGCGTGAACCGACAAATTGCTAAGTGAGCTCATGGTGGCTAGGGGGCCGACACTGGAAGAGCTCAATAAGGACACCATCGTTTGACTTCAGGTGAATCTTTGCTGCCTTTTCTTACTTCCACAAGTTTTGTTTCCTTTTCAGTGACGAGGTACTGGCGGACTTCGTCATGGCCGCTGGAAGCTCGCTGCGCAACCTGTCCACCACAAGCGTGAAAAAGGCACGTCGATCAAAGCGATCCAAGCTAGTGCGTTCTTTTGCCGCAGAGCGACCGAGGGCGGGTTTGGATTCCTTGTCCCAATCTCGTGGAGCTCAGACTCTTTGGTTGCGTTGCACCCAGGTACCTGCTGCTCGTCTACCTGCAAATAAAAAAATCGCGTTTCTTTGAGTGGGCTTGATAGGATTTTTCAGGGAGAATGCTGCTAATAGTCGGCGTTGCCCTAAAAGGGTTTCAAGCAGAGATAGCAGGTTCTTTGATGAGCACGAATCCCTTCCTCTTGCTGATTTCGTTTAGCTGCATTGCCTTCCAGAGCGCCAGGCAAGGTCTCATTTTCAGCTCCAGCAACCCTAGCGCTCCAGCTCCGCTCAGGTGAGTAGGTGGTTTTGATTATTCTGGTTTTGTGCCCATCAGAATGGATGTGAACGTGAGTGTGATTGTGGCAATCACCATGGGTGTTTGTACTTTCACTACGGTAGTTTGCATTGCCGCTCATTACCGACCTAACCTCATCACCAAGAGCGTCATCACCATGGCTTCTTCAATCAGGGGAGTAGTGAAGGAGGATCTGCAAGCTTTCCATAGAGCTCTCAAGGAGGACCTTTTCAGGCTTAACTAGAACTTTGGAGTAGCTACCTCCATCCTCAAACAGGACTTCCTCAAACAGGACTTCATAGCAGCTACTACCAACCTGAAGCAGGATTTTTCCAGCCTCAAGCATGATTTGGGAGTAGCTATTGCCAGCGTCAAGCATGATGTGCGAGTAGTGTGCATGATGTGCAATCCTGCTTGATGCTAGTAATAGCTACTGCACAGTCTTGCTTCTGCAAGTGCAACTGGTGCAATTCATACTGCAGTGATACAGGATTTTGGTGCCTTGCATGGAGTGGTGAGGGCTGATGGGACGATGATGCGAGATGCCCTGCAAGCTGAGGCAGCTGCAGCCCACAGTCAAGCAATGAACGACTGTTCTACAAGGCTCTATCTGGTAAGCATTTGTGAAATTCTGATTTTGTGCGTCTTTTGAAAATATTTTATCAGAGTTTGAATGGCTTGATCCAGTCGTGTGCAAACCGCACAGTGGTTGGTAAGTGGCGCTGCTGCTGACCATGTGATCAGTAGTTGATTCATAGAAACGACCAACTGTTCTGTTTTTTGACAGGAAAATTTTTTCTGATTCGGGTCTTCGTCTCCTCGAAATAAAAAGGCTCATGTCTTGAGCTTCTGATAGTAAGTCTTTTCCGGGCAAGAACATAGACATGAACGTGGCTTGGCAGTGTCTAATAGTACTTTCTTGTAGGTGGATCAGTGTAACTATTTATTCAGCAGACCGGGATTTCTGGGTACACTTCAATTGCTTTGTATGATAACGGAACACATTCAATCGAACCTTTCAAGTTTTCTGTCTTCAAGTACATGCAGCTTAGCTGACGGCTCGTGCAGACTCAACCTGAAACATGGTGGCTGTACGATCTGATGTTGGAGCTTATCATCGAGGTGATCTCCATATCCTTATCATGCATTTCCTGTGGAGCGGCCCTTGCGAGAGAGCCACTGGCCAGCTCTGGAACGAGCTCCTACATGCCCCGGAGGTACCATGGATTCTTCTCCAGGAATGGGACGCCCCCAATGGGAATGGATCATATTTCGTCACTGGGAGTTCGGACGAGCTTGCCAGGGTAAGCATTAAAAGTTATATTTCTAGCAATTGTTTGCACAGGTTTGGGACGCGACCGACGTGTCCTGATGACTCTTGACAGAGGTGGTGTACTTCCGACAGGGAAGAGATCCAACGAGCTAGTCTTGAATTATGTTTGAATTGAAACTGGTGATTGCAGGGACATCAAGACTACTTAGACACCAAGCAGCTTGATGCCGATGGTCCCTGCAAGCGGTGGAGTTCTGCGAGATCACCGGACTGGAGCACATCATTCTCGAAAACTCGGGGAACACTTGTTGCCGGCTGACTCTCGAGTTCATGGACGGGTACAAGATTCACGGCCGTCGGCAGCATACTGCAAATGTGAGCTTTGTAAATCTTTTCTCAGAGGTTTTAGTTAACGAAGAAAGAAACTTTTCCTTACACACCTCGCTACTACTGCTCATACAAGTTCTTCCCATGCGTACCACCTACATTGTCAAACACGACATCATTCCTACGGGAAAACGAGCACACTTTGATCCCGAGTTGCGAGGATAATCTTTTTATACCTGGAAAACCACATCAAAGTCAAGCTTTGAGTCGGTTTAAGGATGAAAGCTTCTAAATTTTTCTAGCCAGACAGAAGCCAAACGTGCTCCCATGATACTCCCCCAGAGCCAAACAAATAAAGGAATTAAAGGTACCTCTTTGGAAAAGCGGTGGCAGACCAAAAGCGATTCTACGTAACGCCAAGAAAAAAATCACGGGTGCCTTTGCGGTGCGGTGATCGGATCGGAGCTCTCGCTTGCTCCCTCTCGCTCCCCCGTTTGAAAAGCTGGGCCAGCCAGTAAAGAAGAGTAAAAAAATAAAGAACAGAATTTGCAAAGCTTGTGCAGAGGCGCCGCACCTGAGTCTCGGAAGGAAAAGCTGTCCGAGTCTGCTACAGTGTCCGGGAGCTAGCCGAGAGCTTCTTGTATTTAAGTCGAGGGTTGACCACTGCTGGGATCCTCGGTTTTAGTTTTTGCTCCTCGCGTCTTAGCACGCATGCATCGCTTTCTCCACTTTTGTTTCACGAGCAGGGCTTGGAGAAGGAACAAAAGAGGCCATCAATCCTCCTGAAACACCCCTGGCAACGCACACACACTGGTAAGCCGATCAATGCTGTAGAGAAAAAAAGGAAAAAGAAAAGAAGAAAAACTCACTTCTGTGAATCCAATGCAGAGGTCACTGTTGTTCCTGCGGTTTGCAGCTTCGAGGTGGTCCAGACACACAGAGGTCTTGAATCTATCCTCGCCGGATCGAAGAAGAGGAGAGATAGATTCATCCCTTCTTCGTTTTTTATGCGGCTGCGACGATCATGGGTGCTTTCCTGTGGAGCTCCAGCACCTGTAAGTCAGTCAGTGTAGCGCAGCTCTGGAAGAAAAGTGTTGATAGATTTTACCATTTGCAGCGAAGAGAGCTGCCAAGGATCGAGTAACTCTTGATGAGGAAGAAGTCGAGGAGATGGAGCGCCATCCTTCTCCTCTTCCTCCCCCTCCTCCTCTTGTGCTCCACAGCATCGAAGCCGCGTGCCTGGAGGAGCTCCTCTTCGATCCGGAAGCCGACTACGCCCAGGTAAGAGATTGGTCCTCGATGTGGAACAAATCTGGAGAGCTGCGATCCTCACAGGTGCTAGAGGAAGCTCGGAGCTACGCCAAGCAAGCAGCCGCATCCAACAAGAGAGCGATCCACGAGGACGGCAAGAACCACCAAGAACACCATCCAAAATCTTCCAAGCAGAGCACGAGCAATGGAAAGTACCAGCGGACAGCCAAGGTCTACTTCGTGCCCCCTCCTATTCTCGACGATCACAGCCGGCGCCAGCAATCCCCCGCCAAGAAAAAGAGGACGAAATCCTGGTCCTGGATCGATCCGCTGCTCCTACTCTGGCGCAGCGGCCACAAATCCTCGCGGAGTCACCACGCCGGCGCCAAGATCCAGAGCTCCTCGCGAAATCACCACGACAAGATCAAGATTTCCGAGAATGCGCCCCGGAGGAAGAAATCCAGCGCCTCCGGCCCACTGCCGCTCTACACTGATGGAAATCGCGAGAATCCACGACCGTGGCACAGGAACTGGAGTAGCAGCATTGATTCGCGAGGCCAATCCGGCCCCCTGGCCGCCATCTCTTGCAGCGCCAAGCAAGACGCTGCCTCGCCCTACGTCCCATTACACCACTGTACGAACGGCCCGCCAAGAAAGTGGACAAGTGGCCCATTGTACGTAACATCGTGACCTAGGATCGAACGGTTCCCGCGCTTTGCTCTTCTTTGACAAGCTTCCCATTCCAAGTGCTTTGATTTCTAAGGGACCGATATTTTAGGGTTCTTGCGAGCGATGGAGCTCCGGAGACGCCGTCGCGCCGTCCTGCGCCGCGCCACCGCGCAGGAGAGCGATGCTTCCTCCGACGATCAAGCCAGGACTAGAAGGAAAGGTAAGGCCAAAGTGACGGTGGAATCCGAATCGGAGGCCGAGGCCATGGAAATCGAGGAGCAGCCGCCAGTGCCAGAGCCGGAGCTGGAGCCGGCGATGGATCTCGATAGCGGGCGCGAGACGAGGATTAGGCTCAAGGCCAAGAATCTCACCACCGCTCGGCACAGGGCCGCGTTCTATGCTCGCTACAGCGCCAACAACAAGGAAGAGCTCTTCTCCAGGGCGAGGCAGCCACACAGGCAGGCACAGATTGACGGCGACGAGGATTTCATGGACGATGATCTTGCGGAAGCTCCCAAGCCGGTCGAACCGCCGCCTCCTAAGATCATCGAGTGGGAACCATCGAGGGGCTCTTCTCCCGACGTGGATTTGCCTGGCGCGCCTCCGTCTCTGTTCTCTATGTGTATCGAGCTTCTCTGCCAGAAGATCGATCACGTCGAGTCCTTGGAAGGGGTGCCGGAGGCCTTAAAGTGTTGCATTACGTCCAAGCTATACGAGCTTGGGAAGATCACTCCAAAGGCAGCCCAGATAATCATGGCAGGACCTCTCTCGCAGATCTTGCTCCCGGATTGCAGCAAAATCCCGGAGAAGGAGTTCACCGAGCTGATGGAGAACTCTTCCCTCGATGAAGTGCAGGTTTGTCTCCTTCCCTCTCTCTCTCCAAGCTTTTTTTTTTTTTAATTTCCAGGCTTTGGAGCTCGGGTTTTGTGGCCGAGCTCTCTCCGACCAAATGCTACTGAGATTCGCGTTTCCAAAGCTGAGGAAGCTTCGGCTGCATGGGAACTATCGCGTGTCAGACTCGGGACTGCGCGCACTAATACAATCAGCCACCAGAGGTCTGAGAGACGTGGAGCTTGTCGAGTGCTGCTGTATTACCGAGTCGTCCGTCCAGGAGCTAGCAACCTTTCACGGGCCTTTCCTCCAGAGCCTTTCACTGGAAGGATGTGATGGGATTATTGGGAGAAAAGTTTTGCCTTCCCTTTTGAGGCTGCCCGAGCTCACGGTTCTTTCTCTCGCCAGCGTGAAAGAAGTCACCGACGAAGTGCTGAGTGAGCTCATGGTGGCTAGGGGGCTGAAACTGGAAGAGCTCAATATCTCGCATTGCAGGTAAGCAACCGTCTTTGCTGCTTTTGCTTCTGACTGAGATCCGCGGGATTGTTTTGTGCAGCGTTACGGACCACGGCATGGCGGCTGTCGCAGCTTGCGGTTCTACTTTGAAAAGCTTGCACTTAGAAGGCTTGGAGCTTACAGACGTCACCTTACACCATCTTACAGAAGGCTGTAAGACACTTTGTAAGTTATCGTTGGACGGAGGCGACTTCAGGTATCTTTGCTGCCCTTCTTCTCATCTCTTACTTACACAAGTTTTGTTTTGTTTTTTTTCTCAGTGATGAGGTACTGGCGGACTTTGTCGCGGCCGCTGGAAGCTCACTGCGCAACCTGTCCATCGCAAGCGTGAAAAAGGCACGTCGATCATTTATGAAGCGATCCAAGCTTCTCTAAACCTCACTGCGTCACTTTCTTTCTCAGGCTGGCGACCGGACGCTAGTGGCTCTTGCAAAGCACGCAAGCCGGACACTAGAAACACTAAATGCGTCCTTTTGCCGCAGGGCGACCGAGGACGGGTTTGGATTCCTGGCGGACTCCTGTCCCAATCTCGTGGAGCTCGGGCTCTTTGGTTGCACCCAGGTACTCGCTGCTGCTCGTCTTGAAAAACTCAGGCACGCAATTCCTTTTTCCTTGCAGGTCACGAAGAGATTTATAAACGGGCACTCGAACAAGGCGTTGAAACTGGTCGGGGAGCAGGGTGGAACGCTCTCGTGGCACATGAACATCCGCGAGGTATGACTTGTACATAGGCGGATTTAGTGAAATCTAGGAAGCCCAATGTTCGTGGCTGGAAGGAGTCATCAAATCAAGTTACCGAGAGATGGTCGAATTCAAGCTAAAAAAGTGAGGCTTGGTAGTTCTAGAAGAGTTTTGATCAAAAGAATGTTCCATAGAATAATTTTGTCTATGTTTATGTACAAACAAGTTCCAAGAACAAGAACAAAACTTTTCAAGCTCCAAGAACAAGAAAAAAAACCTTTCAAACCCGCGGACTGGGAAGCTGCGTGCTACTCCCCAAGTCTCGCCGGCTCAAAATTCTTCCCAGGCTCCGCAATCGCTCCATCGTCGTCGCAGCCACAACCGGCGACTTGGGCTCTGGCTGCTGCTCCTTATTCACGTCGATCACCGAGTGGAAGGACGATCGAGCAGACGACACACCATCGGTAGCACCGGTGCTCGATCCATCCTCCTCCATTCGAGGGATGATGATAACCACTGGAGCAGCCGGATGAGAGGAGGAGCCTTGCAGCTCCGCTAGAGCCTCCGAGGAAAGAGAAGACGAAGAAGCGACCTGGATAGGACTCGCTGGAGTGTTGTCTCGTGAGCTCTCGCTCTCGCTGATGGTGATAGTAGCAGTCGCAGTCGCAGTAGCAGTAGCAGCTCCAGCGCTGGAGCTCGCATCCGGATTGTCCACGACTGGGCTCCGGCAGATTGGGCACGTCGCGTGCGACTGAAACCACATATCGATGCAGCCGGCGTGGAAGGCATGGTTGCATTTCGGGAGGAGCCTTCCTCGCTCGCCATCTTCAAACTCGGAGAGGCAGACCGCGCACTCTGTCGTTGCCCCCACATATCCTTCCTTGCCGTAGACGAAAGCTGGTAGCAGCGAATCGATCACGCCTTGGTCCAGGCCTTTGTTGAGCAGATTCACGTGAGTTCCTGTCCCTGGCTGCCGCTGCCCCAGCGGAATTATCCCCGTGTACCGCCGCAACAGCACGCGGAGGCACAGATCCAGTGTGATGAAGAAGGCCACGCAGCCGAAGATCACCACGAATGCCGCTATGCCAATTGTGGCATTGATCCTCGCGGAGCTGTTTGGAGAGAAATCGCCCGGCGGCCCCCCTGTGGAACTCATCGCAGCACTCAAGCATCTGGTCGCAAGCTAGCGCCCGCCCTTGGATATATTGCGAGGAGAGCTTCCTCCAGAAACACCCTCCGAGCTTCCGTCTCCTGCTTCTCCACATCTTCGTTCCCTCGTTACCAGGGCCGGCTTACATGTTCATGCTGACTTGACCGAAAACTCGAGGAAAGTCAAATTCTGGAGGAAGTGTTTGCATTAGCGAGGAAGCGAAGGAAGGAGTCGTAGATCAAGCCGCTTACCTTCAGCACGTCGATACAAAAAGGAAAGTTTATATAGTCTTCGTGTTGAACGAGCCGCATGCGCCACACTTGTGGTAAAGCCAATGAAATTGGGCCTCTCCCTTCCGCTCGCAATCGTTGCAAAAGATAGTCTATAATTCGACAGCAAAGATGAGCTCTCGTGAGAAATGATTGGAAGATTGCACTGCACCTCTTTGCGGCCACGGTACTCCTCTGGAAGTTGCTCTGCCTCCATGAGAGCATCCAACAAGCCAAAATATAGCTGAAACTTGATCGATCAGTCGTAGCTCTAAACTTCACTTTAAATACTTACTCCCATGTCGCCCAATGTCTTGCAGCATATCGGGCACGTATAATGGTTGCTGCTGTAGGCCTACAAGAAGCATCGGCGTAAAAGGATACAAAAACGAGGAAAAGAGCACTTACCAAAAAGCATGACGAGTGCATATAATGCCCGCATGGAAGGCTCTTCACGTCGGGCACCGACGAAAAAATCTGCTCGCAGCAGATAGGACAGTCCGTTTCTGTTCCTTTCTCCCTGCAGATGTGGCTCTGCTCCAGAGTCTTGGACATGCATCCGTTGCATACCAAGCAATGGAAAAACTCCTGGCCTAAACCAGATCCCACTCTGCAAATGTTGCAGAAAGGACAATGATAAATGCTCCTGCAAACTAAAGTTTTAGCCTGTCAAGTAGAATCTGTCATTGGACAAACCTTTTCGAGTCGTCGTCGAAAAACTTGCAGATGGGGCAGTAATACCGCGCCATGCAGAAACGATTGCACGACGGTGTGGTGCAGTTTGGCCCAACAGGCTGAACCTTTAGACACTGCATGCACAGCATCTCTGAGGTCTGGTACCTGGCAAGATCAGAAAAAAAAATGCCTCGGCGATTGAAAATAAAGACCAGAAGCGTACCTGTCCATTGTATGGTCACTGGCTTCATCGTGGCAAAGCCTGCAAGTGAACAAGCTACCACAACAGGCAGCCCGAAGCTTGCAGTTCCTACGGTAGTGCTTGCAGCCGAAAACTTTGTTTTCTTCGTCAGCATAGCTTGGAGCCGGTTCCGAATCCGTCAATCGCTGATCGCGAAGCTTTTGCTGAGCAACCATCCAACGGCTGCTCGTGTAAAAGGTTTGATCAGTCGAAAGCGTAATTTAATGACTTGCTTACCATGTCATCAGGTTCTGCATCAGGTAAGCTTTGCGGCGAGGATCTAGTGACGCATCAGTAGATAGCTTTCGAACCGCGGCCTCCAGTTCTTCCTGGTTGAGCCTGAAAATTTCAGGCCAACCGGGCTTGAACGTTTCAGAGTCATCACGAGTGTCACCACCTGTATCCTTTCCTTCAGAAAAGTACTCGACCAAAGACTGTAGGCAGTCTTTTGTAGATACAGAAGTCTCTTTTGTAGATCGTTGGCGCGATGTCGACGGCGCCGTCCACCAGGCACTCAACCAATCTTGAAACAAAGTGTTTCGAGTTGCCTGTTCCCATGTTTCCATCATCGAGTTACGCTCTTCTTCGGTCAAAACGGCTGTCACCCACGGTAGCATGGCTTGGATAACTTCTGCACCAGTCGATCCTATTATCCTGGCCATCACTTTGTCTTGCTCTTGGACTGAGAAGTGTTTGTCGAAAAGTGGCCAGAGCTCGGACTCTTCCCTGTCAACGTGCTTCCCGAGGCAAATGCGCATGGACTTGCACATGCGCTGCAGCTTTGCAGCAAGAAAGTGTTGGTGTGCTTCATCCCCTTCTGTTTTCTCCTGAGACTGGGTGACAAGGCTCGAAAATGTTGACAAAATCGCTGAAATCTCATTGAAGAGATCCTCTTCCTGCCTGTGATCTATCATGTAAGAGTGGCTGACGTTGAGTAGAGCCTCCTTTGCCTCCAGTGCCGGGAAGACAATGGTGTCTTCGGCACTGCTGTGAGCACGATACAGGCCCCATAAGAAGTAGAACCTTCCTCTAAACTGTCCCAGGAACTCGTCGGTGCAGTCCAAGAGTCGCGCTGATTCTACGTCCAAATACTCCAGATCTTTTCTTATTGCCTTGTGAAACTGGAAAATCTGGTCGATTGGTTTCAGTTGCTGCTTCCCTGTGGACCGCTTGCTTCCTTTCAAATCAGGCTCCAGCTGCAGTGACTTGGACAATAGGCTCAATTCACTCCGGAAAAGCTTCGAAGGCCTGTCGGCTGCCAACTGACAGCTCCTTTTTCCTGAAACCTTTAGGCTCTCATTTTTTAAGAGATCCCAAACATGCGAATGGTTTTCGCAAGCCCACCCCGTCAGCAGAGCAACCAGGATGCTGTCACCCTGAGGTGCTGCAGAAAAAACGCATTGAATCTCGAGAAAAGCTTTAGAAAATAAAACAGACCTGCCAGTCTTATGTTAACAAGCATATCTTTCGCCTCCTTGGCAGTAACGCAGTTAACAATCCATGGAAGGACTCGCCTCAAGAAAACCAAAGGCATGGTTTTGAGGCTTTCATAAACCAACGTTCGCTGCTCGTCAATGCTGAAAAGCTTACTTGCAAGAGGTAAGAACTGTTCAAGAATGAATGAGAAACGACACAACCGAAGGAATTGTTACCTCAGTTTCTTCAATAGAGAAATGTGCTTCAACAGCATCAAGTAAAAGCTCAGCCTGGGTGATGACAGCAGTTGAGCTGCAGTTGTTTTTAAGAGTATTTTCAAGTACTCTCAAAGCCTCACTGCACACTTCGTCTTGTACAGCATGATCAAGTTTCTTGCCAATTGGAGGAAACACGAACTTATCCTCAGCTGCACTGTAAACACACATTCAGCTCTGTTATTCACCAAGCATGGACAAACACACCTGTGAAAACTCCATACTTTACTTACAAACTCCATTCGCTCGCTCAAGGTTGCCAGTGACGTCAAATCCTTGATCTCCTCAGTTATGTTAAGAAGTTCGCGCTTTATAGCCTGATGCCAGTGAAGTAAATCGTTGAGTGGCGATCGCGTGATAAACCGGACGTCGGTTCCAGCTTGCTTCGCAGGTTTTGGAGTGGTCTTTGGAGCTCTGTTGGCGCCCAGCCTGAATTTACTGTGGTCCCGTTTAAACCATTCAGTAATTACCTACATGCATTCGTTCAAAACTGTGCAGTTGGGGTGTTACGTACCAAAATCTTACCTCCTGTAGAAGCTCTTCTGCTGGAACGATTTCCCGAAAGCAAAGTTCCATGTGTTTACATTCTTCCAAAGTCAAGGAGGAAGCAAGCCATGGAAGAAAGATCTCCATGAGCTTCACAGGAATATTGCCCATAAACTGCCAGACAAGGCTAGCTTGTTCTTCGCGATTATAGTACTGCATGAGCAGCGGAATGACCTGGAAAAGAAGTAGAAAAACCGTATAGAAACACTTTGTCCAAAGTTACTTACCTGGCCTTCTTCTTTCGAAAGGTGCTGGCATACTGTTCTTTGCACTGCTTCCGTGCAAGAGATGATTTCCTGCCACGACGAATCGGTTTGATCCCCCAAATGTGTGGAGAGAAGCTGGGACATTTCGTTGAGTAGATCGTTCTCCACAACATGCTCCAAGCAATACGAGCGCGCGACGTTCTTGACGCGAGATTCTAGAGCCGGAAGAATCACCTGAAGAAAAAAAAAAACGTATAGTCGACATTGACAATTCTCACACCTTAGCAATCACCTCATCTTCCGCCTGGCTGTGGTGCTCGTAGATTTCTCTCAAGAAATTGTACCTCTCCGCCAGGGATCTAAAATCCTGCCCGCTGCTCCTATCCATCGACATTGCCGTCTCGTGGATGCGCTCCAGCTCCAGACGAATAGCCTTGTGGAAATACACGATCACAAACATCGGCGGCAGCGATTCCCTGGAGAAAGATCTATCCTGCTGCTGAATCGCGCTCTCATCGCTGCCGGCGGCACCGTCGAGCTCCAGTGCCATCGCCAAGAACACTACCTGCGGGGCTAGGTTAGAGGATTCCACGAATGAATGTCACCACAAGGCGAGCGTGTGGTCAATGTACCAAGAACACGTGGTCTGGGGATGACGTGGACTGCCAACCGGAAAAACGCCGCTCATGTCATTGGATCACTTTTGCCTCGCATCCATCGTGGCAGCGGTCTAGCCAGTATAAAAGAAAGAGCAAAGAAAGAATTGAAAGGCCATATGGAAAAAAATTAAAAAAGTGCTTTGGAGAAGGAGTGATCTTGGGGAGAAAGATCTTGGCTCGATCTTTCCAAAAACAAGTGCCTCAGTATTTCTCAATGTTAGATAGAGTTGACCACACCACATTCAATCATAGGTCATCAGTGACAAATGTAACAGCCTTGATAAGAAAGAACCATCCATAACATTTTCTTTTTCAGAGAATCCACTTAATCTAAGTAATTCTTGCCTTTTTGTGTTGGCTGGTCATCCTTGCATCGTGCATACTGATCCAGTGATTGAGTTTCTTTTTTTTTTCTCTTCATCTTCTATAGCAATAAAAACTGAATCACTTAAAAGTATATAGACTGGAGAGCCTTTCTTCAGCTTCGTAGAAATGTCACTCGCAGTCACAGTTCCAGACACGAACCATCTTGCAAACCGCCCCTGGAACGTCCCCACCTCCGGATCCGAAAGAAGCGGTGGCCGGTCAGCAACTTGAAACTACTCAGTTCTATCCAACGCCCGTGAATATCACTACCCGTTACCACCCTGCTGATGGAGTTTGATGGAAACTGGTGTTTTGGACACCGTTATCAAGAACTGGATACACAAGATTCTTGGTATCTCTTCAGATATTCCCACGACTTTTAGCTTTTATGATGATCATACAAAAGTTGTTTTGTTCCTTACATGAGCCACAGTCGAACGTCTTTCCAACACTTTTTTTGTGAGTCGTGTTCTTACCAACAATAATGGAGGTCCAGTATATAAAGGTTGTAGTTGCTTTGTATCAAATAGCTCCATTTCATGGCTCCAGCTCTAGAGAAGATCTATGCTGTTGCTAGGCCTCAAGAATTTCCATCTCCCAAAGATACCCAGCTTGATTCCTCCAGCGCTTATGCATCCAGCAACAAGTTCATCACCCGCGGATAAAAAGGCTTTAAAAGATTGGAAGATCCCACTGTTTGGAACTCCGGTAGAGTCGATTGGGTCCAGGAAAAATGCTCTCACATGCTCATAATACTGCTTGTGGGCTACATTACTGGACGACTTGGTTGACGGGGGTTTGCTTGAGACTGCTAGCATTCTTCAAGATTACTACTCCATAATCCTGAATCATCTACACAATCCTGAAGTCAAGATGCCTGGAGGCATCGGACAATCACCTTCCAGTTCGAGTTTACAGGGCCACTGAAGAGAGATAAGATCATCCATGCTTCCTCCAGTGTATGCTTATTTTGTAGCACAGTTTGAGAGGTATGCACTCAGCAGAATGGCAAGCAGGCCCTGTCAAGCAGTCTATCGAGTGGAGAAGGTTTGAAGTGTTATTAGAGCCTATCTTCAGCTTCATAGAGATGGCGTTTGAAGTCGCATAGAGATGGCGTTGGAATCAGAGGACTATCTAATTCTGCGAGATCCCAGGATTGACTATGTATCTATGCACAACCATATTCTCCCGTTCGTGAAGGTGTTCGTAACTGCTGAATCTTCCAGTGTTGCTGCTTCTTTCGGATCCACATTCTGATCGCTCAGGCAAGAGGTGAAGGTAAACACGAGTTTGTGAAGTATCTTGAGTGTCATCCTAGTGTTCTCTCCAACACGCTTTACTATCACTACCCTCTGCCCGGTACCATCCAGCATTCATCACTGGTGAGAAGTTTGACGGGAATTGGTGTTTGGGCACTGTTATAAACCATAGAAGAACTGGCCGGTGATAGAATAATTTCAAAGCTGGCAAACGAAAGAAACGAAGTCCCAAAAATATTCAAGTTTTGAGATCAAAAGGAGAATTGGCCTCTCCCAAAGATCGGCACATGGGAGATATGTGTTTTCGAAGCCCATTTCATCCATATCCTGCTATGTTACATGACGGTCGCCTTAAAGCTGGGCGCTTCACCTTGACTTTGTTCTTGATTTTCCCTCCATCGCCTGGAATGGTGCAGCTTGCGGACTCCCACGGGGACGCCGGGATTTTTCATCGTAGAAGAGAATTCCACTATCGACTCAACAAAATGCATTTTATATACTGTTTGCATACACAAAATAAAAAATTAAAGTCATCTTATAGGTTCTAGTAAACATATAAATGAATGAATGATTTTGTGCTTACGTGACCAACACTTTCTCAACATTCTAACATACCTTCCACTTCAAATGCCGATCGTCTGATCCTGGCAATCGGGCGCTTCATGAAGACGTCCTCGAGTTCCTTGATCTCGCCCTCTATCGCCTCGCTGAACTCCTCGATGCCGTCGTGGTCGTCGAGCGGCGGAGAATCCACAGCAGCATAGATTTCTTGCCCCAGCGATGATCGTCGGCCTGGCGTTGCCCCCAGGCATTGCCGGTGTCCAGCTGCTCGGTCGTGAGCGCATCTCTTGTTGCTGCGTATCTCAAGAGCGTGGTGTCCAAGATACTTGTACTGGGCGAAGCTACACCTGTTGTTGACTTACCAAACTGACACCAAAATACAAACTAGATGCTTTCAGAGACTGCTATCCTGCTACAGACCTTAGGAAAATTGCCTCGTGAACTCGCTGTTAAGGGTGTGCGGTTTATGGTTTTGATGCAGGGACATTCGCGAACAAGCTCAGAGTTGACGCAGCTCATTGATACAAGCTCGGATTCGTGTACCAACTAGACATTGTGAATGAAGGCGATGAATGAACTTGTTGCTTAGTAGCTGCCTTCAACTCGACCAAGAGCAGCGTTTGGTTGTCGTTCTTCGAAGACCCTAAGATCTTGTAGACGACCTGCTTCAGTTGTTCATAGTCTCTGGCCTGCAACGCCTTCTGAATCTGTCCACAATGGTAATCGTCTATGCTGTTTTTATCCACTCCATCAGAAGCAAGAATAAGGAAGTGGCAGCCTTTGGAAATCTCAAAGTTGACAATGTCCGGAACGGCACTCACGGCTTGTTCTTCTCGACTCAGCTGTGGATTGCTCTTGAATGACCAGTCTCCAATGCTGCGGGTCACCATGAGCGAATCGACATCGTCTTCCTTGCCAGCCAAAGTTATGCGTCCCTTCGAGCCCTTCTCCACATAGCCACCCGCCTTGACGACCCTGTCTAGCTCCCCAGGACACTTGCAGTCATGCTCCTGGCTGATATCCATCACGTACCCATCCACAAACAAGCAGCAGTAAGAATCGCCAACATTGCCAAGAAAAACCTGGCCGTCATCGGTAACCAGAGCCACGGTCGCTGTACTCCCACAGCAGTCAGCACCTGGAGCCCGTGAATCTGCCTCCATGAATACCTGATGCAAGCTCCTTGCATAGTTGCCGTCCCGGAAAGCCTGATTGCAATCCAGAATGGTGCTCATGCTGCCGGCGCAGAAGCGTGCCACTTGATCCCCGCCGTGTCCGTCATATACACCTATCAACGAGACGTTGCCCCCGGCGCATGCCGCTACAGAGTGAGCGTCCTCCATTGTGCTCCTGAATCCGTCGTCTTGGAAGCACAACACTCTGACGCGCCTGTCCTCCACAACCTCCATTCTGTCCTCTCGCCCTAATTCAGAGCCTTTTTACTCTGGTCTGGAGCCATCGTTGGTAGCCAACATTGACCTAAACAGGTGTTATGGCGGTCACAAAAAACATGCTCACGTGGATTTCAATATAAAAGTTTTTCCGGTAATATATCTTTGTGCTTTGGATGTGGCAGATCCCAATATAAAAGTTTTTAATGTTTCCAGTAATATGCTAGCTGGATGAACTCGCCCAACAGATATTCAACCACATGGATACAGTCTTGCTGATTTCCTTGGGATTTTTGTTGTCCTCTTTGTTGTCTAGATCTTTGAACACAGATTCACTCCAACTGTTCCAGGGTTTGGAAGCAAGATTCGAACCTAGTCATGCCTCCAGTTATTGATTAATTAGTCTATCATGTATTTAATTCTTCATCTTTTCTCTTGTGGACTGGGGTATTTAACTTAGTCTTGCATCTGCTGATGCTGTTAGATATACTGTTATATGATTTTGTCCAGAAACACTTCCACTCATCCACAATGAGCCAAATGAGTATCTTCTTTGTCCCCATGAAACTTTACCAAAATGTTGCTAGCTCCTTTCACCAATGTGAACGTGCCGGAGTGGTTATCGGGCATGACTCGAAATCATGTGGGCTCTGCCCGCGCAGGTTCGAATCCTGCCGTTCACGTTTCTTTCGCTTGACCACTATATATATAAGCATCCTTCCTTGAGAAGGAATGCTCTCCACAAAATTATTCCACAGAATCAAAACATACAGTACAATTTAAAACAAATCATTTTCACTCATACTCGATCTTGAAGCCTTTAAACTTGATAGGGTCCAGCCTCCCAACGCCCCTGGGCACCAGCGTCACGACAATATTCCTGGCATCTTTTATGCCCAGCTGGTCCAGCGTGTCGGATATTCCCAGCCGCAGGTCCGTGGTCCTCATGTGACCAGGCCCGCCGCGGCGGTCCCCAAAGTGCGGCACGTTGACGAACGTCCCAGCATATTCCGCTACGTTACACGACGTGTTCTCGTCCGCGCCCGGCAGGTTGATGTACACGTCGAATTTGGTCGCCCTATCGCAGTCGATCTCCACGCCCTGGATCACTAGAACTTCTTCCTCCTCGTCGTCCTCCTCCTCTTCCTTCTTGCCGATCCTCAGCTTCTCCTTGATCTTGGCGAGGTCCTCCTTGATCGGGCGCTTCACCTTGGATTTGAAGACGTCCTCGAGTTTCTTGACCCTGCCCTCCGTCGCCTCGCCGAATTCCTCGATGCCGTCGTCGTCGTCGTCGCCAGCGGCAGCGGCCACGGCAGGAGAATCCACCGCGGCATTGGAGACGAGATTTCTCGCCCCGGCGACGATCGTCGGCCTGGCACTCGCCCAGGCATTGCCGGTGTCCTGGTAAGAATACCCTAGCTGCTCGGTCGTGAGCGCATCGCGGACTCTCACGCGGACGAGCCGCGAATTCTCATCGTAGAAGAGGAATTTCGCGTCGAGCCAATCGGTGTCGGTGGGGTCTCTCCTCCTCCCGCCGGGCAGCGTCTTCCACACGACCCAGAGCCGATCGATGTTTCCATGGTGCGCGAAGAAGATCGGATCCCTGGCGGCGGAGTAGAGCGTCCCCATGTCCTCGCGATTGGGCGCCGCGGCGCTGCCAGTCCAGACGTGCACAGTGCCATGGGGGGCGTTTTCTATGGTTCCTCCGCCAGGGGCATTGGCGTCGCCAGCGCGGTAGGCCTGCCCGAAGAACAAGCTCGGGGTCCTGGAGCCACTCACGATCTGCTGGAACATCAGGGCATTGTTCTCGGCGCGCTGGGTGGAATCCGGTGGGATCGGCCCACTGTCCTGGCCGGAGTAGTTCAGATCCACGAGCCGGGGAGGGAGATGCTGCTGGTTGCGCAGTGAATCGATCAGGGGCGCTTGATTGAGGTAGGCGGAGGGGATCACATTCGCGAGCGGCGATCCGGCGGCCTGGTTGTCCCAATTCCAGAATGGAAGCGCGAAGGTGTCATCGCCCAGGAGCTTGCCCAGAATCCTCTCGTGGAAGTAGAGGTACCAGCGATGCCAGGGGAGGAAGAGCCACGAATCGTGGATCTGGAGCTCGCTCCGGCTGTTGGCCTGGCGGAAGGAATCGTTGCAGTAGGCGCAGTGGACGTTGGCCTGCTGGGAGAAGCGGCGGGGATCGCTGGCCGGGAGAGCGCGCATGAGCTGATAGGCGCGGTTGTAGCGGGCGATCTCGTCCGGGCGGAGGAGATGGGCGGGGCGGCGGAGGCGCTGCGGAAGGCGGGTGTTGTACTGGAAGTCGACGATCGGGCTGGAGTTTGGCGGCGGGCAGCAATTCACTGGCGTCGCGCCGGGGGGGAGCTCTGCTGGCGAGCACGACGAGATGCTGCCGAGCTCCACCGGATTGGCGAGCGCGCCTGCTGCAGGGAGTGTGGCGGCTGCCCCTCCGCCGATTGATCCCAGGACGAACTCGCGGCGATTGACGTCGCTGGTTCTTCCGGATCTCCTCGCGTGTTCTTCTCCTTCGTGGACGCATTTGATCGTCGTCGTGCACAGCCTCTTCCCCGATCGGCCACCGAACTGGATCCGAGCTCGCCCAAGGCGGAGATCAGTGCGAGGATCCCGGTCGAGCGCACTGAGCAGTGAATTGGAGCTCGAATTGGTGGCGGCCGCCATGGATTCTACTGTTCTATTTTACTACTACCACTACTTTTGAGAGGGCGAGGAAAAGGGGAAAATGATGAGGGCTCCAATTGTTCCAATCCTCGAAATGTATAGTCGATGATCGTACGGACTCGCTCCAAAAGTCGTACGAGTTGTCAGCAAAGTCATGCTTGATCACGATCGATTTCACGCTACTCCAAGTTTTTTTACCAGCCTCTCCTCCCGATCATCCTTCCAGATTTGAGCTCTTTTCTTACTGGAGCGCCAGTCAAAACGCACGAGCACAGCCGCAAACGCGTAGACGTAAAGTGGCAGTATATCTGCCACGTTATGTGTCTATATGTTATTTTGATAGTCTCGTGGTGTCCAATTGGAAGCATGAGACCGATGGATGCAAAAATGCAAGTTGGATGATCGTTTTCGCCACTGTGGCACGTCGCCATAGCGCTCACTGGCCCGGTCTTATCTTCCTCGGCGGTTTGATGTCTCTGGCCTCCATGGCATGTGTGACATGTATTGCGAGGGATGAGGTTGTTTCCTTGTTTGCAAGAACTATGTCGTCTCAGTCAATAAAGATACAATGGAAAGAATAAGGTATAGAGTTTGAAAACATAGGGAAACAACTAAGAAAGAAAGCTTCTACTATACCTATTTTTTGTACGACTGAAAAATTACATTATCCAAGCCTTTTATGAGAATCCCTTTTATGGGAAAAATAAGGAGCTGTTATAGGGCTCCTCCCCTAAAGTTAGGGCAAGGATGGCAGAGAAAAGTCCGTTACCATTAGGGCTCACGCTCCGGAAGACTCCATCGCTGCTGGATCTTGTGTCGCGTTTGATCTCTCCAACGGTTGCTAGGGCTCCGGTTCCTGACAAGGTGAAAGCTTCCAACATCGCTGCTGTTTCAATCGAGATTGGGAGCTGGAAGGTAATGGCTTTTTGTGCTCTTAGAAAACTTTGAGGGATTTCTCATGAGAGTTGTGATCAGCGTAGTGCCGCAAATGAGGGAGAAATCGTCGCAAAGTTCTACTATGCAAAACGAAGGTTGATATGGGAAATTCTGGAGAGGGGGCTCATGAACAAGATGGAAATCCAATGGGGCGATGTCATAGGGTTGCATGCAAGTTTGTCAGAAGGAACGTTGATCATAGAGGTACCTCCCAATTCATATCAATTTCTCTATCCTTCCTTTTGCCCTTTTGCCCGTTTCTCATAGATATTTCCTTTAAAAGGTTTCCAAGCCCCCGGTGTTTTACACGGAGCACGATCCACAACCTCGGAAGCACACCGTATGGCATCCTGCAGAAGATTTTACGGGTGGCCAAGCAAGTGTTTGTAGGTTGGTCCTTTGTTTTTCCACCAAGTTTTGTGTCATATTAATCGAGCTGGCTCGTTTCTTTGCAGAGAGCACACTTTGCGATTCGCTTGTGGTGTCCTCAACAAGCACTTTGAGAGGCTTATGAAATATGATGAGCGATTGCGGAGCATTTCGACATTGCAAACCTTGAATCCCGACCAAGCTACTGATCACCAGCAAATGCCATTAGCTCTTCAAGAACAATCCCGGCCGTTAGTGCAACCCCAGCATCATCAATTGCAACATTATCATCAACAGCAACAGTGCCAGACCTTGCTACAGCAACAGCAGCAACTAGATCACCAAGCAAGCTGGCCAACTTATGCCCCACTTTTCTCTCCAGTCTCAGGTTCAGTTTTCCGATTCTCATGATGTTTCTCCTGACCAGAGCCTCGCTTTCGCAGTGATGAATCTGCCATGCATCGACGAGAATCAAGCCATGGCAATGGTGGACAACAGAACGATGATGAACAGCGGTGCAAGCTGCTGGTCAGACTACGATTTCGCCGCATCCGCCACTGCGCTCTCAGATTTCCTGGTCGAAGATCACGTCGCGGGCACGAGCCGGCAGAGCTCAAACCCACAGGTCCACCAAAGCCCAACCAAGGCGTGGCTGGGCGAAGCCGATCTTGAGAGCTTCATGATGCGCCCAACAGATCAAGATCACTTCCTGCCGGACCAAAATCAGACATATAGTCCGGTGACAACACAAGCAGCAGCAGCGGTGGAAGCAAATTTTCCACACCCGCAGATGCCGCCCGAGGAAGTTAGTGTGATTTCAAGAAAGTTTTCTGCAGGGGATTTGCTGGTCAACCTCCCGAGAGTTGCGTCGCTCCCCGAGTTCTTCAACGTCTTGTAGCAGTCAAAGAGAGGGTCAACGAATAAGTGGCCGATTTTTTATCGTTTAACATTACATTTAAATAATACAGTACATTTAACATCTGACAAGTTTGAAAGAACGCCAGAAGACCCATCAGTCCATGGTCAATATAGTCAATGTAGTAGAAGACCATAGGCAATCTACTGAAGAAGTCAATGCTTAATTGACTGACCATTGATTAGTCAACTAGGGCTGGCTCTTCCGAGTGTATGGCATTTGCCGCCACCTTTCCTCTCTCCTGGGCATTAACTGCACCACATCGACTCAATAAATGCCGGGACAGGCAGACAGCGCAGCGCAGCTTGCTTAAACACACACACACACAAAGAGAGAGAGAGAGAGAGAGAGCGAGGGAGGTAGGGCTCTCTCGTTTCACACAAGAAAAGCGAGCTTTTCTTCAAGCTTTGTTCTTCCCAGCTATGGTGGCGATGGCGCAACAAGCCCTGAGGAAGGCGATGGATCGATAGCGGCGCCGGCGAATGGCGCGAGGGGGATGTAGATGTGATGGAATAGGAACGCCGCTAGATTTCTAGCTAGAACAGGGAAAGGGATCGAGATATTTCGGACAGGATTGCTGGAAATATCTATCGATCGGTAGGATGAATCGTCGCGCGGCGGTGGCAGTGGCAGCGATCTTGTGCTGCTCGATCTTGCTGCTGCGCGCGTCGGCGAGCCTGCCGCCAGGGACCGAGTGTATCCCAATCTTGACGGAGCTGGAGCCGTGCTTGCCCTTTGTCCAGTACTCCGGGGAGAAGCCCACGGCGGTGTGCTGCTCGGTGCTGCGCGACGTCCACAACAAGAGCGCGCCTTGCCTGTGTCGATTGATCGCCAGTGAGAAGAACCAGCCGCCCACGCCCGGGATCAATCTTACCCTCGCCTTCTTGCTGCCGGATGCGTGCCACTTGAAGGTCAATCCGGATCGATGCCCTGGTAGATTTTCCTTCCTTGCCCTCTCCTCGATCTTCTTCTTGGATTGGATCGTTTCTTGGTCTCGATTTCCTCTCGAAATATCACTGATTCGATCAATGCAGCTCTCTTGCGCGGAGATCCTTCCTGGTCGACGCAGCCGGAGGGAGGTGAGTGGAAAGAATCCTCTCCAGCGTTTAATCCCGTGTTCTTCGCGCAGGGTCCAACAGCGGCACCGCCGACTTGAGCGCTCCAGTGATCGATCTCAGCAGCTCGGCGGCGGCGGCGTGGCAGCGGCGGCAGCGGTGGTGGAGCTCGGGAGTCGCGGCGGCGGCGTTCGTCGTGCTTCGTGTCTAGGACATAGATTGGATTGGCGAAAGAGAGCATAGATTTGGTCCAGGGCTTTTGGGATGTGTGCTTTGGAGCTTTGAAGAAATCTTTCCCCCTCTTTTTTTTCCTTGCCTTGTACCATATTAGGGTTTTCCAAGCGCGAAATGCGATCGATCGGCAGCGATCGCGATCGCGCTCGCCGGGGCCGACGCGGATCCATAGCGGTATGCCGCGGTGGGAATTCCACTCCCAGCGCCAATGCACAAGCTGGTGATCCAGGCGCTGGATTCCGGGCGCCGGGGCGTCGAATCGCTGGCGCGCAGCCTCTCCTGGCCTGGAAATCTCGATGAGGAGGAGGAAGAATCACCGCACAAGAAGCGCTTTCTTGGAATGTGGATCAAGAACAGCATCGTCAAGCGTAGTAGTAGCAGTTTAGAGAATTCTCCTTCTTTTCCCGACGATCGACCGCCCTGGGTGAGGCGACCGTCATCAGCATCCCTGGCACTGGCGGATGAGGTTGCCGAGAAGTCCCTGGTTGGATCTTCGGGATTTATGAGACCTCTGGATCCAATGTGGGTGCTGAGCTCTGGATTTGGGCCGAGATGGGGGAGGCACCACAATGGCGTCGATCTCGCGGCTCCAATTGGAGAGCCAGTGCTCGCTGCCGATTCCGGGGAAGTAACTTATGCTGGATGGGAGCCTGGTGGCTAGAGGTATGGAAAAAATTCTTCTTTGTTCTTCCTGTTCTTGGGGTGGAAAAACTTTAGCCTTGTTGCGAATTCTTTCCTTTCTTGCTCGTTTTCCTTGTTCTTGAGGATGGAAAAACGCTCTTTTTGTCCTTCCATTGCGAATTCTTCTTTCTTGTTTCATTGTTTACCTGCATTGGTCTCTCGTTTCATTCTAACTGGTATTCTTTTCTGTAGATTACGCACAGAGATGGATGGAAAACTTTGTACGCGCATAATAGCGAGATATTTACATGGGAGGGACGGCAAGTGATGAGAGGAGAATGCATCGCGTCGGTTGGAGAGACCACTTGCACTGGGAGATCCGGGACAAGTTTGGCCATCCCGTGGATCCCTCCAAATACGTTAACTTGTGAGTCTCGTCCACGATCTCTTCTCTTTCGTTTCTTCTTTTCTACTTCGAGCTACTTCACATTAGTCCAAAGCCTTCGGCGTTATTAATTGCTGTTAACAATCGCTCTTGGAGCTACAGGAAAGAAAAAAGACACAGAATTGATGAGAAGTTTTGGTGTCATACGAGCGAACGAACCTTTTCTTTAGTTTTGTATTCCGGAAGCAATAGGTGATTGAAGCACGTATGCGCGGTTGGAAGCCTCTCACAATCAGGTCCTGGAAATGAGAAAAGAAAAGTTTAAAACTGTGTGTTCCGGAAGGAAAAGCTTTTAGCTATAAACTACACCGTTTCGCGAGATGACGAACTGGAGATTCGAGAGGCCCTTGATGGGGGCACGATCGCTGCCAGTTGTGAAGAACAAAAGTTTTCTTTTTTGCTCCTCGGTGAAAGAATGGACAACCTGTAGATGGCGAATGATTTATTAACTGCGAAGGATGCGTTAAAACTTGTTATTACCTCCCAAAATTCCCGTATAATACGAGACTCTTTCGTGTAGCCGTCGTCATACATGGCAACCTTCTCCCTGGAGTGAATCACACTTGAAAGAAGAACAAGAAGAAAAACAAGGGAAGCTTACAATGCCTCAAAATCAAGCCCGGGGCTGCCGCAAATTAGCTGCTCCAGCTCCACTGGCTGAAAGAGCTGAAAAAAACAAGATGAGATTGTTTAGCAGCTAAACGATCGAAGCTTTCAAACTTACATCAAGAACTCGCCCCTTGCATAGCCGACGAAATCCTTGAGAGAAGCATTCAAACTGCCTCGCGATGGATTTTCCAAGGTAGTACTGCATCAAGAGAAGGTTTTTTACGCACAGAAATTGTGTTTAAGAGAATACACACTCACCTCAACACACAGCTTTACGTACTCGTCCCTGTTTTGCAAGTTAAGATCAATGTTCTCACCGCCTTCTTTCAGGTTCACCGTGGCTGTCCGCCCAAACATATCTATTTCCGAGATTTGGAACGTTCGTGAATACGTTTCCTGGAAACTCGATAAAATTTTAAGACACAAACAACGGTTTCTCGTCGCCTGCTTACCTCAACATCACCCGTGAATCTCAACAGATGCTCCAAACCCTTGCCAAGGTCAGGCTTCACCTGCAAAAACATGGTCTTTAGAGCTTTCCGAGGCCTGAGCTGCCAAACCTGACCCAAGTCGTCCAGAGCTAATGGTTTCCCCAGTAGTTTTTTGTACACTACGGTCGGGAAGTGTAGATCCAGGATATGACCATTGTAAATGGCCAGTCCCAGAAGAATTCCAACCAATTCAAACTCCGTGTCGAAGTTTAGTTCGGACGGTGTTGCATTGAACCAGAAACATCGGGCTTCATCGCTGTACGAGAACATTCCATACTGCAGGTATTACAGAAGTTAGGACAAACTAAAACGGGCCATAAATACCTGTGGATTGAAAAGCTCGCGAACAAGAAGCTGGAAAAACTCTTTTTGTACCCCACCTTCGTCAATTCCCTCCTCCCCCACAAACACAACCTGCAAAGGACGGCTTTAAAAAAAACAGGACCAGCTTGAAAGACTTGTGTCACCTTCAAAGGCTTTTTCAAATCACCTAACTGTTCTTGGATCTGTCAGAAGAAAACACGTATGGAAAGAATTGAAAAATCAGGACACCAAAGATCAAATCAAATTGCTACCTGCACAATTGTGTCCCGAACTAGAAAATCTCGCCTGACTCTCAGTATTAAATAGGGGCATGTCATGCCAATAAAAACCGAGCGAAGAATCGCATCCTCAAACTCCTCCGTCATCTGAAATATCGAGTCCATCTGAAGAATTTTACTCTTGCTAGACGGGTCGAAAACAAACGGATACTGGCAAAATGAGAACTGCTGCCTGCGTACAAGACCACTCTATCAGTAGCTACAGTTGATTGAAACTATACAAACCTTGTTGGATCAACCCAGCGACTAAAATCGTCCTTGAGATTGAAGTCGTCGTTGTTTACAGCATCATTGTAGAAAGCCGAGTGGCCAATCCGGAGCGAAGATTCATTGACAGAGTCTTTTGTAATGTAAGTAGTCAAGGTAAAAGAAAAGCCAACCACGAAAATGTGCAAGGATACAGATGAATCCCAGAATTTCTACACCCGAGACGACCATTGTGTTTACTTGTTGAAACTCGTAAAGTTGTATGGTGATAAACTGCTGAATGACAACTACAAGCCGCTCTAATTGCTTTCCATCGTATCTGTGTGGAGAAACAACGTCAACGAAGGAATGAAAAGGAAAAGAACACATTACTCTTTCAAAGCTGAGAACAAACTGGCCCTGAAGCTCTGCGGTGCGTCCAAGACCAATCGCCACAGTCTCGAGAGAGTACCGTAGTAATCAGGCTCCATGAAAAGCCTATTCTGATAACACAAAGCCTCATAAGTCATCACGCGAGAGACGTGACTGGAGTGAGTACCTCAAGCATGATAATAACAGCACGCAAAGATCCCGATGGCCAACTTCCATCTTTGAGAGAGCGAAGCAACGAAGCCAGCAATTGCTCGTTAGCTTCCATGATCGCGAGATTGACTTCCGGGGCTTCCTGGAAGATAAAAAAGTTTGAAGTCTCGAAAGCTGCGAGGCGATTGACAAAGTGTACCAGCCTTAGCGCCGAAACGTAGAAGTCCTCGAGAAGCGATAGCTCCATTCCAGCCACTGTGGTCACAGCCAAGAAAAAAGAAGATGAAAAAACAAGAGGAAGCGTAGAAAAAAGATGGAAGGATCCTTCACCTAAGGAGCTACTAGAATCACTGTTTGGAGGAGTTTTCGAGAGGAAGCAAGTACTAACAACATCCACGGACGAGAACGCGAACTTGATCGTCTCGATGAGCTCCCGGTACTGCCTCGTCTCTCCGGCCTTTGCGATCGCATCCAGCAGAGACGCTGGATCCAGAGGAGGATCCACTGTGTGTCAGAAGGAATTTTTTTTTCAAGGATTTCAGATAGTGGAGGAGCGACTGGTTACCATTGCCATACGCGACCTTCAGCGCCAATGCTGCTGCTTCGTTCGCAAGCATCCCTCGCTCGCGAAACTCGTCGAAATACCTGCGACCAAGGCGAGGAATCCTCTTAGAAATCGCGCGGCGGCGACGCTGCTGCTTACTTCATCACATCCAGGCGGACGTTCTCCTTGCTGCTGCTGCTGCTGCTGCTACTGGTGGTGGAGGCGTCCTCCATCGCCGGGCAATCGCGGAGAAGAAGAAGAAGCTCGGCGGGCTAGAAGAGGAGGCATCCCGTCCCTCCTCTGTTCATCACCAATACCCTATGATTTAGAACCAGGAATCGACCCCAAAACCCAGAGATATTCTTTTTAGAATATACTAAGGATATACTTTAAAGATTGTTTTTGAAATAATTACTGTAGTAATGTCCTACCTATTTGATTTCTTCTCCTACTTTCTTACCACCTTTGCTCATGCGAGTGAAGAGAGCGAGGAAGAGCTTTGATCTGATCGAAGATCAAGAAGAGCAACATTGGAGATGGAAAACAGTGAAAACGTTGTCATTGCAAACATCTCGATCTTGTCCAGCGACAAGTCTTCCTCGACGAAACAAAGGTATGAAGTTGCTTTATTTTTTCCATACTGATCCCAAACTGATGAAAGTCTCCTGGAATCCCGACCAAGAGTATCCCATCACGATGCCGTTGTCTTTTTCTGGGACACTAGTTCTTTTAACATGGCGACGGCTTGTACATCCACACCAGCAAATCAATGGACTTGGGTGTGGCCTTGTTCGTTCTTGGCATCGGCTGGATCACACTATCATTCTTCATTGGGAGAATTCGATCGTCGAAGCAGCAGCTCCCTCCTCTTCCCCGTTTTTGGAGCGCTCTTCTCCCTCAAGGAGCCACTCCACCACCACTTTGCAAAGATCAGCAAGAAGTATGGGCCGATTGTCTACCTCAAGATTGGAATGGCCCCGGTCGTGGTGGTGAACGACAACAAAATGGCTGCACAGGTTCTTAAGGCCCATGGCCTCGAGTTTGCAAGCCGGAGGAAAAACGAGTTCTTCCGGATCGTCAGTCACGACTGGAACGATCTCATCTTGGCCCCCGTCGGTGATAAGTGGAAGATTATGAGGAGAATTTGCAGCACACACTTGTTTAACAACAGTATGCTCAAGGCAAGCTCAGGATTCCGGGAGTCGGAGATGAAGCATACAGTCAAGTCCATTATTCAGCAGTCCAGGGCAGCGATCCAGCTGCAAGAGGTTTTCAGCGGTCTCTTCTCAATTTCGCTATGTTTGGTTCTTTTCAGCGAGCGGGGGCTGGAAGTTGTGGATCTCATCCGGAACATAGTCGCTCTAAGCTTGAACTTGAACATTGGACTGCTGTTTCCAGCACTCGACCCCTGGATCTTTATGGAGTCTACAAGAAACTCAACTCAGAGCTCATGCCTCGCCTGAAGCTCTTGCTGGAAGATCAATCGACAAGCATCGACGCAGGAAAGATCAAGCTGGGGAAGGGTTCGTCCCTCGAGACTTCACTGACGTTCTTATATCTCTCGAGGACAAGGATAAGTTGCCAGACATCTCCATTTTGGCACTGCTCTCGGTACGTTTTGCCAGCTTCTAGATCATGGTCGTGATCTCTCTTTTCTTCCCTGTTGCGACAAGACATGGTTATCGCGGGGCTGGAAACCTCACTAGTGACGCTGGAGTGGACAATGGCGGAGCTCATAAACCATCCCCGAGTCATGTCCAAGGCTCAAGAGGAGATCGACAATGTTGTAGGGAGAGCTCGCGCGGTGCAAGAATCCGATCTTCCAAACCTTCCATACATCGAACCCATTGTCAAGGAATCACTGCGGCCATCCCACTGGGAGCTCCTCGCATGAATCTCAAGCCCGTTAAGTTGGCCGGCTACACCATCCCTGGCGGCTGCAAGGTTCTCGTCAACATATGGGCCATTGGACGAGATTCCGCTCGCTGGTCCGACTCAGAGGCGTTCCAGCCGGAGCGTTTTCTCGGCTCCAGCGGCACCATCCCTGTCAACGGGCAGAACTTTGACTGAGATTGACATGGAAGAGCGGACGAGAAGTATGACGATGAAGCTCAATGCTGACTTGCTTGTAAATGCGTTCATCAGGGTCGATCAAAATATTAGTGTTGAGAGGTATATTCCATGTTTTATTTATATGTTGATACAACATGTTGTAAAGTTCCAATGGACAAGCTGGACATGCTAGGCACTTTGGGGCCAACACGATTGTCGTGACGATTGTAAGCTAGGCTATAATATTTTTTATTTTCTTGCAATGTCTTGAGTCAACTGTTATTGGAGTTTGTAATTTAAAAACATAAGTTTTATAGTAACTAGATTCCATCACCGGCCAGTTCTTCTATGGTTTATAACAGTGTCCAAGCACCAATTCGCATCAAACTTCTCACCCGTTATGAAAGCTGGATGGTAACGGGCAGAGGAGTAGTGATAGTAAAGCGTGTTGGAAAGAACAGTAGGAAGACACTCAAGATACTTCACAAACGTGTGTTTACCTTCAGCTCTTGCCTGAGTGATCAGAATGTTGTGGTAGTATACAAATTCTTGCTCCTTGTCCACGATCATCTTGCAACTCTTGTCCACTGCACTCTGGACTGTCTCCATCTCCGGATCCGAAAGAAGCAGCAACACTGGAAGGTTCAGCAGTCTGTTGCATGCAAACTCCTTTGCAAACGAGAGAACATCATTGTGCATAGATATATAGTCAATTCCGGCATCTCGCAGAATTAGATAGTCCTCTGATTCCAGTTCCATGTCCGGAACTGCGACTTCAAGTGCCATCTCTATGAAGCTGAAGATAGGCTCTAAGAACACATCAAACCTTCTCCATTCGATATACTGCTTGACAGATAGAAACTTGGGCCTGCTTGCCATTCTGCTGAGTGCATACCTCTCAAACTGTGCTACAAAATGAGCATACACTGGAGGAAGCATGGATGATCTTATCTCAGTAACAAGCTCTTCAGTGGCCCTGTAAACTCGAACTGGAAGGTGATCGTCCGATGCCTGGATCTTGAAATCAGGATTATGGAGGTGATTAAGGATTGTGGAATAGTAATCTTGAAGAATGCTACTTTCAACGAAGCCCTCATCAACCAAGTCGTCCATTAATACAGCAAACATGCTATACTTTGAGCAAATGACAGCATTTCTCTTGGATCCAAATGGCACTGCGAGGGTTGCAAACATTGGGATTTTCCAATCTTCCAAAGCCTTTCTATCAGCGGCTGTCATTTTTGGATCCATGAACTTGTATGCCCATTCATGGGCCTTGTTGGATGCATAGATGCTATCTGGATGGCAAGGGACTGAAGGAATCGAGCAAGGGATCTTTGGGAGGTGGAAATTCTTGAGGCCTAGCAACTTCTCAATAGCATAGATCTTGTCTAGAGCTAAAGCCATGGAATCAAGCTATCAGACTGAGAGAAAGTGAGAAAGCAAGAAGAGTTTTATATACTGGTCTTTTGCCTCCAGGGGTGATTGTTAGAAAGAGTTACAATGATGTGGATGTTGTTTAGAAAGTGTTTTCATTCACATAATTTATTAGGAGCCTCTTAGGAATCTTAAGCATGCATGTGAGCTTGTCACATAAGCTGACTTTGATTTTGGTTTGGTTAAGCAAACTTTCAACGGGACTAGACACCTAAAATATGTTTGAATATTTTAGGATATTTTACCATCTAATGGTTGTTATTTATTTAAATTAATTTTATATTTATAATTTATAAACATGTTTATAATTTATAAATTTTCTTAAACCCTTCTAGTATATTTTTTATTTTATCATCTAATGGTTGATATGCAATAAAATTAATCTTGTAAACATGCTTATAATTATAAATTTTATTTGATCAATTAGATTAGAATAACATTATTATTAAGCAAATCAAGCATTGCTACATTTAACACATAGCAATTTATTATGTTTCATGTCCACATGATTATCTTTGTTTCCTAATATTCGTTTACAAACTTTTACTCTAAAGGTAAAGTTAAACTTGTTTTTAAAATAATTACTTTTTGCCACCTGTTAGGGCTTTACAGAGTATATTCGAGCCCTATGTCCTAAAGAGAGGAGCGCGAGCTCGCGGCGATGGCAATCGGCGCCAGGAATCCCTACTTGATTTCTTCTCCCCCTCGCTCGGCCGGGTAAGCGAAAGAATTTGCGCCTCTTTCCTCACAATTCATTCCTCGACCAGGAGCATTCTCTCGTCCAAGCTTTCCTCCACCGCCATGGCTGTTCTTGGCCCTTGGAAACCAGCAAGGAGGAAATCGCGGCACCGGATTGCCGCCGAGAACAACAATTCTCTCGCTTCTTCCTCCTCTTCCTCCTCGCAGGGATTTCGGATTAACGGCGGCAGTAGCACCGATAGCGAGAATGCGCTTAGCAGCTGGTGGCAAGAGGCGTTCGCGAGGATCGATTCCAGCGGAGGAACGAGCTTGCTCCAAATGCTGCACGAAGGAGCTCGAGCTTTCCAGGTATCGGTGGAGAGGAATGAGTCGCTCAGCAAGGGCTCGTGGCTCGTCAAGAAGTGGACAGGGTTTGGCTTCGATACCAAAGCTTGGATGAAGCTCCTCTCTTACCAGGTATGCTCGAAAGAAGATTTTTTTGCTTTTTCCTCCGACCTTTCGCTTTGTTTCTTTTCGTTAAACTAGCTTTGTTTTGCTTGTAAAAGGTCTCTGTTTACTCCTTGCTCCAAGCGGCCATGGAGATTGCAATGCGGGGAGATGGAAGGGATAGAGACGTTCACATCTTTGTCCAAAGAAGGTGATGGATGTCTCACAGTTTGGTTTTGCTTGATGTTTTTTTTCTCTTGCAGTCTTTCGCACCAGTGTGCTCCGTTAGAAGAATCCATCAAAAAACTTTTATCGTCTCGGGATCCTTCCGCCGCCTCGGACTGGCTTTGGCAACAGCAGCTCCCGTTCATGGTTGCGAGCTACGTGAACATCCTGGAAAAGGATCCTCACTTCTCGGCAGTGACATCGACGTAAGTTTTATGTATTCTACTGTGTGTTTCTAAGTCGTTGGTTTGGTTTGTTCTTGGCAGTACAGCTTGTCCTTGCGAGGCTAGTGATGTTGCGCTGCTAAGATTGACCATCACTGCCTGTGGCGCAGCGATGAAACTGGGACCGGCAACAGTTTCGTGTGCTGCTTTCACAAGCACTCTGACGGACGAGATCGGACGACTGATGAACATGCAAACGGAGTTTGTTTCCATCACCGAGGTCTACAGCTTTTCCTGTAACTTGGGACTTCGTCGGGAGTTTCTGTCCTACTTTGGCTCCAGAGCTGCCAGCGGTCCCTTGGGTGGTGCAGACGAAAGGGCCTTCTGGGTTGATCTTTCGGAGCAGTTTTTGAGGAACGCTCTTACTCGAGAAGGGGTGCTAACAAAGCTCAGACCTTACGACACAGCGGAGGTAACTTGTTCATCTTAACAGTTGCTGGTGCTGATGTTTTATGGAAGGCAGGCACTGGAACGGGATTTGGCGACGTTTGGATTTTTTGCTGCGCTTGGTAGACGAGCCCGTGCTTTCTTGTCCAGAAAGCCGGAGTCACAACTCGATGAGCCTATCGCGAGCTTGCTCAGGTTTTACGCATTTTGTTGAGTCCATCTCTAAGTTTCATGTGTCCTTGTAGATATCTGGAAGGTGGATGTGTGCTCTTCTATCCACAACTTTCGACTTTGACATACTATCAACTTTTTGTTGAGGTTCTCTTTCCGAATTGTTTCTTTCCTTTAGTTTGTCGTACTGAGTCATATTTTTTCATATTTTTGCATCTTAGGTGGTCTGCGAGGAACTTGAATGGCTTCCATTGCTTCCCGAAGCATCTCTACTCGGGAACAGCGGAGCATCGGACACGGTTGCTATCTACACTGTATTAAATGTTTGTTCGCGCTGGGTACCGGATTTTCTGAAATACAGCACCTGGGTTCAAGATCCTTCCGGCTCGAGAGTGGTCGACTATCTCATCAAATGGTGATTTTTATCTTCTATAGACTTTCCGCGATCTAACCTACTTTGTGTGCTTTGTGATTAGCCAATCACGATTGATTGAATGCCGTGAAAGATACAACATCAGCTTGGATTCCTCAAGGTAAAATTTTCTTTTCTTTCACAAAATTGATAGCCGATGTACACAGAGAATGCGTCGTGGAGGAGGATCGAGGTTTGCTAACAGCAAGTGGTGTTGTTACTGCACAGAAGCAACTTCAACTACTTGATGAGGCAAGGAGACAAAGAAGAGAACAATTGGGATTGCGTTTTTACTGTTGTGTTTTCCTTTATAGGATCTGCGAAACATGGAAGAATCGATCTGCAAGCTAGAAAGCTTGCTGCAGAGCTCGCAAAGTGGCAGCAGGGCTGACAAGCTCGAAGCTCTCGGGAAGGATTTGGAACGACTGCGGCGGCTGAAAAAGGAAGCTGAAGCTCTCGAGGCGTCTTTCAAAGCAAAAACAGACGTCGGGGTATGCTGGAAATTCTCGTACTTTGCAGGAAACTCATTTTCATTCACAGGGCTGCTTGGATGACGGCAGCATCGCTCCGGAGCTAAGCGAGAACGCAAAAACTTACAACGACGTCTTCAACAAATCCATCGAGAAGCTGAGGGAGGCGAGCTCGGATCTGTGGAGAGGCACGCAGCTGCTTAGCACAGACGTCGCGTCGGCGACTATTCTCTTGAAAAACGGCGCTCTCGGACAGCAACTGACCGAGCGAGAAAAGAAGATGCTGATGCGGACCTTCACGGATCTCGCCTCGGTGATACCAATCGGATTTCTCATGCTGCTACCTGTGAGTAAAAAGAGCTAGTTTTGCGTGATACGTTGATCGATTGAAAAACTTACTTTGATTCGTATCAGGTGACCGCGGTTGGCCACGCTGCAATGCTGGCCGCGATCCAAAAATACGTTCCAGCTCTGGTAAACTCTCGAGCTCTATCCAAGTTTTTACTCTCCCAAGTTACTGATTCTTTTTATCGTTTTCTAGATACCGTCCGCTTACGCGCCGGAGCGCCTGGATTTGCTGAGACAGCTCGAAAGAGTCAAGCAACTTGAGGCTCAGTCGCAACAGCAAGCAGACAAGCGCGAGAAATCCGACTCGACTGACTGACCAACAGCGAAATCCGTGAGAAGAAGATGAAAAGCCTTTTTTTTAGTTCTCGAGATTCAGTCAAAACAAAAGGCGAGAAGCAAAAAAAAACTCGGGACGACAAGTTTCTACTCGCCCTTCTTGGAGATCACGTCCTGGATCATGTCGGCGGCGTCCTGGACAGTGACGATCTTCTCGGCACCCTCTTCGCCCAGGCTGATCTTGAAGGCCTCCTCCAGGTTCATCATGATCTCAACCTGTGTATCGATCAAGAACGGAAATAAAAGCTGGATGAGAATGGTGCTCGAAAGAATCAAAGAGAAGTTCTTCCAAGTTGGGAACTTCTCGAGAACCTGGAAGGAGAACTTACAGTGTCGAGCGAATCGGCCCCAAGATCCGTGAACTTGGAAGTGGGACTCACTTTGTCCTCTTCCACGGACAGCTGGCAAGCTATAACCTTTTGCACAGTAGCCAGAGTCTCAGGCTTGGCCTGGGAAGAACACGTAGAAAACACGAGAGAGAGAAAAATGGCAGCGTTAAAAGCCCAAATAATCCATGAATTCGATCGAGAGAGAAGGGAAGAGCTTGCTCACCGCGAGGCAGGAGACCTGGAGGCGCCGAAGAGAGCTCGTGGAGAGCACCACGGTCCGGGCCTTGAATCCCAGCGCAGTGCATGGTCTCAAATCCGCGCCGAGCGCCTGCGAAATCCAAAATCCACGGTGTAAGGCGATAGATCTCGGCGGCGCTGCATGAAATTTCACCTGGGCAGGGCAGAAGCTGGAGATTGCTGCGGCGGCGGCGGCGGAGGTAGCGGCCATGGGATTGACGAGGATTTGCGACGATCTAAGGAGGCGCGCGATTATGAGAGAGTGAGTGACCATGCAAACCAAGATCGCGCGTCTCACCTGGAGATGTAGATTTGCCCGAGGTCCTCCCGCGGGAGAGGCGAGAGAGAGAGAGAGAGGAGAGAGAGAAGAGAGGATGCGCTGCGCTGCTTGTGAAAACCCTGGGAGACGTCCGCCTTAAAACCCTCCTCCTTGCCGTTAATTTCTACGGCGGAGGATGCTCCAGCGCAAAATTAAGTTAAATTTCTTACTGTTAACTGATATGAGTTTGATAGTACTTTTTGTCCTAAAAGGTAGTCAGCCCTAATTTCTGGTTGTTGACAGCATTGGAATCTAAAGCAAAGGTCCTACTCACACACTCTACACCGCTAGCAAGATCACTCAGATCTTTGCTTTGAGCAAGGCGACGAGAAAGAAACCTGCTTTCTCTTCTCAAAGCCTCCACTCTTCTCCCTCCCAAGCATTCCCAACTGGAAGAGGCTCGTCTCCTCCACACCATGAGGATCCATTCTGGCAGCTGTGGTGATAGCAGGAGAGAAAAATAAACAAGCGTGAACGGCAGGATTCGAACCTGCGCGGGCAGTGCCCACATGATTTCGAGTCATGCCCGATAACCACTCTGGCACGTTCACATTTCTGGGTATAGCTAGCAGCTGATAAAAAGTTCCATGGATTTGCTTGGGGACAAAAAAGATACGCTCATATCAGGGATAAAAAGTCCACAAGATAGATAAATAAATGTTTGTAAAAGTCATGGGGACCCGCAGGGCATCAAACCTATATACATAGTTTCGTGGTTTGAGTATTTATAAATACAAGTAAATACATGATAAAAATAAAAAGATTCATGTCAGAGTGGTTATTTCATGTGGGCTTTGTCTAAACTACAAGATAGCAATGTGGATTTAGTATTCTTTTGACCATTGTTTCGTGGACTGCTGCTGTTAACCAACTTGTATAATCATGGATCGGAAGCAAAGTCCTGGGCACAGCTTGAAAGAGTTTCTTTTCTTGCGGTCAATGGAATTTGAGATGGTGTACATTTGGATAGCTTGGATTGAGGGTGTAGACTTCACTCTACTAAAAGTATTTGCTGAATTGTCACCAGCTCTTCACAATTGGGGCTGATCATCACTGAAAGGAGGAAAAGGAGCTTACAGTTATTGTTTCTGTTCTTGTATGTACCTATACTTTGGAATACAAGTTGGGTCATTATAGCTTAGAAGGTAGACAAAGACAAAATCTTTGACTAAAATGAGGAAGTCAAGAAGAGAAATAAGCTCCTTAGACGTGGATTTCTGCCTCGAGTTTAACAGAGCAGAGATAATACGATGGAACATGTTGATCTCGCGAAAAAAAATCGGTCTTCGCTTTCTTCAAGTTAGGCTGATATGTTGGATGTGGAGGGCGTCAAACTGAGCAACGTGACTTTTTTTGCCATTCTTGACGCATCTGGATTGGCTGCGGCCCAGTCCACAAGTATCCTTTAAGTTGTTTGCTCATCACCTTGCTGCATATGGCAGAAACTCAAATAAAAAATAAAAAATAAAATTTACCTTGATCTTGCTGCTGCTTCTCATGGGCAGGGCAGCAAAAGTACGGCTCCATAGCTCCCCTCTTGACCCGCTTGCATCTGTTCGTATTGACAAACCCAGAACACCGAACAGATTTCTCAAGAGGTAGCTCCTCACCCTCAAGTGCTGTTGCATAAGTCAGAAATATAAACACATCAAAAATGAAAGAAGAAAGTTCACCTGGATATTGCTGCTGCTTCTCATGAGCAGGACAGCAGAAGTACGGCTCCTCAGCTCCCCGCTTCAAGTGCTTGCATCTGTTCATATTGACAAACCCAGAACACTGAACTGCTTTCTCAACAGCTAGTTCCTCAGGCTCAGGAAGCCTCAATTGATCAACAAATGCCAACGTTCCATCAAGTTCTGCAAAGCTGCGGAAACTCACATTTGCTGCAGCAACAATGAATGAAGTTAGCACGGATAAACACCTTTAGATAGAAAATAGCTTACCGCCCGCTAAGTCTGTATCCTGGTGACAAACATTTGGCAAAATGTAGGCATAAGACACGCTGAAATCTACCAACAATTCCTTTAACGCCAAGCACTGAGGAAGGATCTCTTTCCATGCAATATGGCTCTGGCGTGCTAGCTTTCGTTTGGTTGATGACACTGAGATCTGTACTCCCTCCACTACCAGCACGTATTGCTCGCCACCTTTTTCCACCTGTAGCCACACTAAATCAACGGCCTTTTCGTTGAAGTGTCGGGGGCAAAACAGAACCCCAGAGAGCAGCTCCGTCATAGTAGTAGCCACCAAAACTTCCAACTCATGCCCAGTGTCATACTCCTTCCAACAGGAGAAGAAGCGGCCGAGTATGCTTCCCTTTGCCTTCACTACATTCACCACCAAAGCCTCCACATTCCAGCCAAGCCTTGCAGAATTGCGGGCTGAGAGAACGGCCGCATTTTTCCGAACGTCAAATGCCCATATAGCTCGTGCATCAGGTAACCTAGACAAAGCTTTGGACGTATTCATAACTTCAGCTGCCAGCAAGTCCGCCAAGTATCTGGAAATGAGCTTCACTGTAATCTCCTTCGAAACGTCAATGTAAGCGCATGACCACGGGACAGCCTCGAGCTCAGCAGGGGCAATTGCTCCCTCGGTAGCAATCCTCATGGCTAGCTCAAGCTGGGGTGCTTCCTCCAGTCCACCAACGTACCTTATTATATCCCTGGTGTAAGATTCGATAAGCACGTCAAACGCAGCTGTTTGATTGGCCTGGACATACAGCTGAAGCATCCGTGGAGTGAGCCCTGTGTGGTACACCATTGCCTGTGTGGTGCCGACCCTGAACGGAGACTTTGCCAGCCAAGTCTTGAACTCCTCCGCAGTGAAGGGCCCATTGAACTCCATCCGCAAAGGCTTCTTGTCTGTTAGGTGATATTCCATGGCGAATTCATATGTTGCCGAAGCCACTTTGATTAGGATATGGAAGTAGCTTGCATTCTCGAGTGCACACTTGGATTCTATAACATTCGGATAAACAGCGTATTTCTCTCGCTTCGTATCTAAGCAATTCCACTCGTCTACCACAAACATCAGCTTGTGCTTTGAATACTCAAAAATGCCTATTAACTCTAGAAGCGAGTTTGCAGACAGCACCAATTTTTGGGTTGATTCATCATCCGCAAACGCGAGGAGGAGCGCCTCCTTCAAGACCGTTACAGGGTTTAGAGCGAACTGGTGTCCAACAATGTAGACAAGTCGTCGACCACCAGGCCTCCGGACAAGCATGTGTCCAGCGATAGCAGCCGCGAGAACCGTCTTGCCCGACCCCGATACTCCCGTGAAGAGCAGATTGCTGCGTGGTCGTAGCGACACAAAACGATTGTACACCTCTTTGGCCCTTTCACGGCCCAGGTAAGAGAACGAGTCCCCAGGACACCCCAGAGGCGAGCGGACAGACGGCCAAGGCAGCTCCAGAAACAGGCTAGGGTCGCTCAAATCTTCCACTTCTAGTGTCTGGAAGCATTCCGTCAGACGTGTATAGGCCGCAGCTACCTCCTTCAATAGATGCCCTCGATCCATGGCCCTAAACCTAAAGTGCAGATACCGTTTATACTGTTCTGCCGTGAGAGGTAACTGCACTGCAAATGCCGTGACCCGGTTTCAAGGAATCTTTCTGTGACGACGAGCATGTTGTCAAAGACGTTGGATCTCGGCCTGACCAAACGCAGCAGTAGCTCCAGCACCCAACTCCAAAGTCACTGGATTGTGCACTTGATGGCTGCTGCTCCCCTGAAGAGGATGTTGGACATAATTTCTAGCTAAAATATGCTACGAATAAACCAGTTTTCTCAATTGAATGGATTATCAACCCACATTTTTTAATCAGGGACCAATCTGCCACTTTTCTCATGCAACCAAAATTCTCTATAATGGTGTCACAGCATAATCATTTTGTGAGTGAGCAAGTGTGTGGGTGGAGACTCTGTTGGATGATGATTAAGACCTGGCAATTGCACTTCAGAATAGCCATGGAACCCTCACAGTGTCTTTGTGGCTCCGCAAACTTAACAGAGCGAGGGAAGTCGCTCCTACTAAGTAAGCCACATGAAATAACTCATCTTTGCCTACCACCGGCTTTTCCAGATCTTGTTAATGCACTGCGGGAAGTATAGGGAGTGGATCCACTAGGCTCTCGCCTGCCTGATGAATGTAGATTGGGTTGGGCTTCTAGATGAGGTTTCGGCACAGTTTTGTCTCATATTGAAAGAACTCCTTGCATCTATTCCCCTTCCATTGTCATTCTATTGGATCCCATTTAAGCTTGGAAGAAAGAGCAAGATCAAACATTGAACAGGCCACAAGCTCGTTATTCAAGGAACTACAAGAAAAGGATCAATGATCATCCCTTTGGTGTTGGAGATTTTGTCAGGTGTCCTAGGAAGGAAGTGTTCTTCACGGTACGATGGGCCTTATTTGGTGATAGATCAAACAACTCAAGCTAAGATGACAATTTTGGCTCAGCAAACAGAGAATGCAATGCCACAGAGTTACTATTCTCTATTATATATATATTATTCTCTATATTCTCTAATTTAATATTCAACAGCAATGTTAGAAGTCCTGGAGAGCATTCAATCAGACCCATGTTTTCTCACTCTCCTTCGAGTACACAACGTTTGTATGCTATGTATGGGACATTGGTCTAGGAATTGTGTGAGGACACGCAAAGTTTAAACGGGGGAGTGACCGCTACATATATAGCGGGCTAAGGTGTCCCGTTCGAATAGGTCCCGGTTTTGGTGGAGGTGAGGGGCAGGCACACTAGACATTGATGCTGTGCCTGTCCTTCATTCAATGGACCATGCTAGAGGTGCTGGACGAAAAACCCAGGGACCTGTTGGGAGCATGACGAGAGTCATCATGGCTCATGGCATCGATGCTTTCAGTGCAATGCTAGAGGCTTGGCTGGAAAGTGATGCAAATCGAGGAAAAAGTCTGATTTGTGAGGCATAGTAACTGAGCTGGACAAAAGAGCTGCTTACTTCTCTGTTTGAACACCCCGTGCGTGAGAGGAAACTGACTGTGGCTGGTGCTGTGGCAGGCTAGCATTTTCTCCTTGAGACATGGCAAGTAATGAGGCAAATGGGGCTCAGGACGAAGTGAGGAATGAGGGAGAGAAGCTCCAAGGGATGCAGGTTGTAAGCTCTTTGCCTCCAGGCCTGTCCGAATAGCAGATTACAGCGATAGTCTCTACTCTCCTCAAGAGATAGTAAGGGACATCACAGATAGCAGATGCCTTGGTCATGAGAAGAAAACTAAGTGTCTCCTTCAGCCATTATCTCGGATGATAATTACAAGGCAGTAAAAATTGCGAAACATGCTTTTTATCGTGGTTTTCCTGAATATTACAAGGTGGTCAAATTAGGTTGACGGCCCCTCGACCCGTTGGCCGTGAGCTCGGTGGAGTTCGCAACGAGCTTGCAGCTGTACAGCTCCAATGCAGCCGCGAAGGAAAGCCTCCGAGCTTCGTTATGCTTCATCACTCGTTGTCACAAGCGAGAGAACTTCATATGTTTCCTTGGTTGTCCGCACTCGACGTTGTTTGTAAGGTGGTAGAACATATACCAATATTACATTACTTACTCCATGGCCATGCTTTCCCTTGCCAGACGATCCACTACTCCTCGATAAATTCCCTGCCTACAAGAGAAATAGTATCATAAAGAAGGAAGAAAGAAAGAAAAACTTACATGCTTTGCGATCAGCCTGCTAAAAGAACCGTCCAGGGCATTCCTGAAAGAGAAAACCTCAGGAAAACAAAAAGTTGTCCAAATTTCTCACTTGTGCAATCCTTGCGGCACTAGCAGAATAACTTGGGTATAGTTTATAGCTTGTGTTACATTACATTTATTGATTGCTTGTGGCTTGCCTGGATTTTTTGAAGGAGAGATCACTGGAGGCCAAATTTCCTTAATGGCAATGGGATCAAGAGGCTCTAGGGACTCAGATGTTGAAGTGGAGAACACTTATTAACAATCAAAATTTACAATAAATAGAAATAAAATATATCTTCCTTGTCCACGATGATTGTGTCCAGGTCCTTGACATCTAGGCCCTTGTAGTTGACAACAAATTCCTGTTTCAAGCAACTGGCCAATCTACACACCTCGTTCTTGCTTGCAAAGATGACACTAAACGCACCTCCACCAGCGACCAGAGCCTCATCTCCCTTGATTGCCACCAATGTAGTTGTCAAGAAAGGCCCCCACAGGTGATACTGGAAAACAGTAACTTCATGTTGGTATCAAGTTTGTCTATGTCGCCCACCTTTCCAGAGAAAATTTCTATGGGCCTCTTGCGATTCACCGAGGACTCGTCATCTTCCCATCTGCTTGAGAAAGGACCATCCGGATCGTCTTTCTTAGAGCCTTCCTCATGACGATGGAAATCTCATGGTTCTAAAGGGACGAGCCACGACATGAAATAAGAAATAACTCGACTTGCATTTGTTAAGCCATCTCGATCGCTTCCTTGCAAAAGCCGTAGCTCTTCAAGGATTCCTCCAAGAGCTTTCCAAGTCTGTAGCAATTCTCCTCCATGAAAGGAATGGTTTCTCCGAAAAGCTAGAAATTAAACTTGGATCTCTAGTGTTAGCTCACCTCTGTGAACAGTCCACTGTGCGTCGGGCATGCGAACGATGGTTATCGCTTCCCGTTCGCCTAATTCACAACTTTTGATCTTGTGCTGAAAAGTAAGAAGTCAGGCCATACGTTCACCGGCGCACTCCAAGTGATCCCTGCATACTAAATTCCTCAACACCTAAAACGAATATTCACAGAAAACGTACGGACAAATTTTACTTTCCATTTAAAATAAAGTTAATAAGAGTTATTTTGCAAAAAAAACTTTAAGACCGAACTTTAATAGATGAAACTTACTTGTAGCAAATAGCGCATTCTGACCTGCGCCGTGTTATAAACGATGTACTCGTTGTACTCCAAGCTTCCCTGGACGAGCAAAAGAAGTAACACTCAAGCCATGCTTGGCTTAGTACCTGATGGTAAGCACCCGAAGTTAAAGGTTTCCCCATTGGTACTATCAAACCGTCTGAAAGTTGCTTAAACTCGCTCTTGTGAGGTACTGTCCTCCCGAGGCCCTTGGTGCTATTGGTCAAATGATAAAAAAGCATTGAGAGTTTAGAGAGTATAACGCGTCAACTCACCTCAGTTTCCCTGGTGGAAGCGCACTAGCATTGTAGTTCGAGTGTAGCAGCTCGTTCATGTCACCAAGAGCAACCTGGAAGGAAATCGTGAAATCGTGAAAACGTTTCAAGCAAAAGAGATTGGAACTTTAATCTAGCAAAGGAAAACCTCGCACAGAAGCATTACTGCCGCGTTTTTACTCGCGCTAGCATTGCAGTAATTGGCACTCTTGGAGACCATGTCCGCAAAGTAAACGCCTTTCCCAAACATGTAGCCCGTGGATGGTGCTTCAGGCGGAGCGATTCGGAGTCCTGTTGAGACACGGACACACGAAAACCACGTCAAAAATTGTTAGCAAAAAGTGTTACTGCGCATACATACCTTGGGAGAGTATGCCGGTCCAGTTGCTCAGCCTCGAGCCATGCCACAGTAACATCCGATTGTGGTTGTCTTTGAACTGAGCGTCCAGATTCTCGCTGGTAAGAGGTCCCGGAAAGCTGCGTAAAACCTAGAACTTACTGGCTGAAAGCGTTCATCTTCTCCAGCTCTGCTGACTTTGAAGGCCTGGCGAATTTCGAGCTTGTATCCGGAATGAGTATGGCCGTGGGTGTTCTTCAAGTAGCTTTCGATCTGTTAGAACGGAAAGAGTACTTGTGAGGAGAACGCCAGAAAAAGGAGAGTGATTTTACCATTTCATATTCTTCGGTGTCAGTATTGAGAGGGTCCAGCTCGCATTTGAGACGTTTGTACTGTGCGTATGCGGGATCATCCTGGGGAGAAGGAAAAAACCTTAGAAAGTAGTGAACAAAAAGTTCATACCTCGTTCCCACTCTTGAGGATCTTCGTTGCAACTTGAATCTCACCGAGTGCCTCAACCTGACACAAAAAAGATGTTCGACTTAAAGAAGACAACATTTCCGCGATTCTCTCCGACCATTTCCAGCTTCGACTTGAGCTGCTCCTTCGTGCGGATTGTTTGGTCTCCTAAAAATTCCAGGTCACATAGAACTCTACCTAGAAAAAATCCGAGTTACTTATGGATCGGTGCCCAAAGTTATGTGGAATAATCGTGTAGAATTCACTGCAAAGCGAGACGTCATTAGAGAATTACTGGGAGGAAAGCTCTTACTTGCTTAGTTGTTGCAACAGTTCTGCATCTGGAGAGCTCAGTTCTAGCTGTGCTGCAATCTTCTTCAAAGCTTCATAACCCTTTCCGTAGAAAATAAAAGAAGTCAGTCGCTTCTTAACTCGGTAGCCAGAATATCACCTTAAGGATTGTAGCTTTGCTGAGTTTGTCGAGGGGCATCTTTTGGGCGTTGTATCCTGGAAAGTTGACAAACTCGAGTTAGAAAAAGAGAAGTTCAAGCTTAAGTCGAAATAGAAAAATAAAGCTTAAGTCGAGCTACAAAAAGAGAACTTCCAAGCAAGTCGAAATAGAAAGAGAGAAGGTCCAAGCTCACCGATCTCAGTCATCTCCTGTTTCATCATATTCAAGTCGCAAACAAGTGAAATCAGCCTGTGAACACGAGCGTCCAGTTTTGTAGAAGTGTTACTCTCGGCGACATCCTTCACAACAGTTTTCAACTTGAACGAAACAGTAAACAAGTGAAAAGCCTGCCTTGCTTTCGGAAGAGTCTTCGTAGTCCATCTCCAGCAAAGTATACTTCCCAGGTTGAGACACAAAGTTGTGCCGGTTGCTCCAGTGGTTCTTCGTCTTGTCTAGAAACTTACGCTCGAACTCTCGCACTGCTGGCTCTTTCGCGTCGTGCTTGCTCAGATTGGATGCGCTTGAGCCGACTCTACCCCATCGCGCAAACGTATAGTACGCAGTTCGATCATCAGACTCTTCAGAAAGAGAAAAGCGCAAGATCAGTCAGTGCATAGAAAAAGTCAAGAGACTACCTAAGACTTGCATCGCGTAGTACTTGTTGTTGTTGCTGGAAATGTTGGTCTGATTGAGCATTGCATCGTAGATGGTATCTCCCTGTTCAAGAATTTACACAAATCATCCATGAAGTAACTTGGAGAGAGCTTACAATTTCTAGGACATGGCAGCTGGATTTGAGCTCGTCCGGCAAACCATGGTCTAAAACCACACGCCCCTTCTTCACCGCGATCACATCCTGTTTGGCGGGAGCGGCCATAGCAAAGCTCCTTCTAAGCGGCGGGAAGGCCGCGCGAGAGTAAGGCGCCAGCATCCTTGATCCTCGACCGCCCTAAAAATGCATGAAAGATAAACCCTAAAATTTGAAAACTATTCTAGCATATTCGAGCTTGGCATTAACTTTTCCACTTTTACACGGGTTTAGGGTTCTTGGATTTTTTTGTAATGGCGGGCTTGGCGATAGCGTATTGTGTTCCAGGTGTGGATGAGCGATGGCAGAATGCCGGCTCCGGGATGGGGAAGAAGGCGAATTTTCTGGCCGCTGGTCGCACTGGAATCGCCAGGAAGCGATGCGGATGTTTTTCGCTCAAGGCAAGGGCCGTGATCCAGATTGATGAGGAGGAGCAGAGAAATGGGGGCGAATTTCCGCTTGTGGAGCTGCCAATGCCGCCGGGAGAGGAGGAAGCTCCCGCGAGCTCTTCGCCAGGTCGGAGCATTACGGTGTCGTCGTCTGTGACTGATAGTGAGGATTCCAGCGATCGCTTTGTGATTCGCAACAATCGAGAGGTAAGAAATTACGATTGATTTCTTCTTTCTGGTCGATGATTGGGACTCCCCGCATGTAGATTTATCAAGAGAAAGCGTTTCTCGTGGGAGTCGAGATGAAAAGGCATCGCGCATTGTTTAGCATCGATGAGTCACTCAAGGAGCTCGAGCAGCTTGCCGACACAGCCGGACTGGCCGTGGTTGGATCCACATATCAAAAGTACGTGTCAAGTTTTCAAGCTTCGCTTTTACGAGGCTTTTACTTTTATCCGGGTTCTTAAGGCTAGGTTATCCAAATCCGAGAACTTACATGGCGTCTGGGAAAGTTGCGGAGGTGAAGACCGCTGTCCAGGCTCTAGACGTTGAGACGGTGATCTTGGATGACGAAATATCGCCGGGGTAAGAATGGCAAGAACTTCAGGATCTCTCTATAACATCGTCTTCTCCATTCCAGGCAGCTAAGAAACTTAGAAAAGGCATTTGGTGATGACGTTCGAGTTTGTGACCGCACAGCTCTGATTCTCGACATCTTTAGCCAGAGAGCAGCGACGCGTGAAGCGGCTTTGCAGGTTGTGGTTTCACCGGATTTTGTGCTGTAACTGTTTTTTTTATCTTTTTTCATTCTTCAAGGTAGAGCTGGCTCAGCTTGAGTACCAGCTGCCGCGATTGACAAAACTTTGGACTCACCTTGAAAGACAAGCAGGAGGTATGGTGAAGGGTATGGGAGAGAAGCAGATTGAAGTTGATAAACGTATCCTTAGAACAAAGGTAAGCTCGGTGATTTCGCACACTGAAACTGAAGTTTGTGGCTTTTTAAGATTGCCGAGCTGAGGAAGAATCTCGAGTCGGTACGTGACCACAGGCAACAGTATAGAAACCGGAGAGCATCGGTTCCTATCCCTGTTATTTCTCTGGTACATATCTCTTGGCTCTTTTCTTGTAAGCTCATTAGAGATTCCACAGGTTGGCTATACAAATGCTGGCAAGAGCACACTTTTGAACAAGCTTAGTAATGCTGGTGTTCTAGCAGAAGATAAACTGTTTGCCACACTAGATCCTATTACGAGACGTGTACAGGTGAGCCTCATGTAAGCATTGTTCTTTTGTTGATTTTGTATCCTTTGCAGCTTCCGAATGGAAAGGAATGTTTGTTTACAGATACTGTGGGTTTTATCCAAAAGCTTCCGACACAACTTGTAAGTTCATGACGTATGAGCTTGCATTCTTAACTTTTTTTGTAGGTTGCCGCATTTCGTGCAACGTTAGAAGAGATCAGCGATTCGTCTTTGATCCTACATGTTGTAGATAGAAGGTTAGCCTTCATCTTTTGTTTGCTTTGTGTTTTGATTAGTGTTTGTTACAGTCATCCAATGGCGCCTGAACAAACAAAAGCTGTTGACGAAGTTCTTGCTGAGCTAGACGTTCAACACATTCCCCGACTTTCAGTGTGGAATAAGGTAATGCTGTACATGTCTGCGAAGTTACTGATCGCGCTCACTTTTGTGTAAGATTGACAAAGCTGAGGATCCAGATGCCTTGAGAGCGGAAGCCAAACAACAAGGTGCAATCTGCGTATCAGCCTTAACCGGAGAAGGCATTCAAGAATTTTTTGACGCTGTGGAAACAAAACTCAAGGTTTACAAAGTTCATTCATTCAGAGAACTCAAAAATGTTTTTGCAGGATTTACTTGTGCGAGTGGAAGCCATTGTCCCGTATAGCAAGGGGGATCTCGTGGACATGATCCACAGGCGTGGTGTTGTGGAACACGAGGTAGTCTTCTGTTTCGTTGGGAATTAATCAAAACTTTGTGGTTTTGCAGGAGTATACAGATTCAGGAACACTAGTGAGAGCTCATGTTCCTCTTGCCCTGTCCAAACAGCTGCTCGAGTACCGTGATCAGGTCCCTTTTATGTAGTTTCAAGTGAAGCCAGTGTCTAATATGTACAGATGCTTCAAACTTTACATTTTAAATCCAGGTGAACTTCAATTTGGCATTACATGCAGCAAGAGCTTACCCTTGATTCCTTCTTTGGCAGAGCTCTTGGCAAAATAAGTGATGGATTTCGAAGTCTCTACTCTTTGCTGCCATTCAGGAAAGCCGCTTGCCAAAGGTAGTGCCAAGCGCTGTGCCTGGCTTTTGCGAATAACTTTGTCAACAGATTTTCCGACTACGCTGGAGCTGCTCACCTCTACAGGAGGTACGGTTCTCCAAACACCAAGGAAGTAGGGGACGCAATTGCAGCGCTGGAGGGCGGTGAATCAGGTAGACTTTCCAGCTTAGTAACGTTGCAGACATTCCAGCGATTTCAAAGTTGTACAAGAAATATGGATGCGTTCTTGTCGTGGACAATATTTTTGGTACTCCCGTCCAGCTCAAGCCGCTAAAGCAGGTTGTCACTTGATTAGTGTCAAAGTTCTGAGAGTGGACAACTCTGCGACCAAGTTCCTTGGAGGTCATGGCTGGAGCACTCGTGCGATCAGTGACTAGTGCCTCAGGAATTGTAGCTCGCTGGCCTCACCATTCGATTCATGGCTCGTACTGCGAGGAATTCAAACTCTGAAAGTAAGTGAGAGACTCCACTTTTATCCAACTAGCCTCGTGTTTTCTCACTCTGGACTTCACAGATCCGAAGGCCAGGATCTTGACTTATGCTTGTGAATCCCTTTGTGCTTGCACGAGGTCCTTCGCCTTCATGACTTGATAATTTGACAGCCCCGTCAATCATCTACGGACGCCCTCCAGTTTGTAGGCGAACCCTAACTGAATCGGATTTGCTAAAACAAATAAACTAATTTTATTTATATAGGATTATCCTGTGACTATTCGATTAGGGGTTGAAGGATGATCAACGTTGAAGAGAAGGCGGAAGGAGGAATTCAGTATGCCAGAGCGGAGAGGGATCACTTGGAGGACGTCGCGTTCATTGTGAGATAAATCTATGAACGCGACCTACCTGACTTTTTGGCTTTCAGCACAAGATCAAGGGCTGTGAATTAGGCGAAGGAGAAACGATAACCATCGTTCGCATGCACGAGGCACAGTGGACTGTGCACAGAGGTGAGCTAACACTAGAGATCCAAGTTTAATCTCTGGCTTTTCGCAGAAACAATTCCTTTCATGGAGGAGAATTGCTACAGACTTGGAAAGCTCTTGGAGGAATCCTTTCAGCGCTATGGGTTTTCCAAGGAAGCTGTCGAGGTGGCCTTTCAAATGCAAGTCGCCGGGTTATTTCTTATTTCATTTCGTGGCTCGTCCCTCTGGTCCTTGCAGGATGAACAGTGAGATTTCCATCTTCATGCAGAAGGCTCTGGACATGAAAGACGATCCGGATGGTCCTTTCCCAAGCAGATGGGAAGATGACGAGTCCTCGGTGAATGGCAAGAGACCCATAGAAATTTTCTCTGAAAAGGTTCGCGACATAGACGAACATGATGCCGAGAATAATTCATGATGCTTTCCAGTATCACCTGTGGTGGCCTTTCTTGACAACTACATTGGTGGCGATCAAGGGAGATGAGGCTTTGGTCGCTGGTGGAGGTGCGTTTAGTGTCATCCTTGCAAGCAAGAACGAGGTGTGTAGATTGGCCTTGTAGATAGCTCAACATTGCAAAGATGGTAATCTCTAGTTGCTTGAAACAGGAATTTGTTGTCAACTATAAGGGCCTAGATGTCAAGGACCAGGACACGATCATCGTGGACAAGGTATCTAGTTTATAGCTTAAATTACAGTTATGGATTGCTTGTGGTTTGCCTTATAGGTGGATCTTTTGAAGGAGCAAGTTATTCTGCTAGTGCCGCAAGGATTGCACAAGTAAGAAATTTGGACAGCTTTAATTTTCTGAAGGTTTTTTCTCTTTCAGGAATGCCCTGGACGGTTCATTTACCAGGCTGATCGGAAAGCATGTAAGCTTTTCCTTTTTTCTTCCTTCTTCTGATACTATTTCTCTTGTAGCAAGGAAATTTATCGGCAATAGCTACGGGAGTAGTGGCCATGGATTGTCTGGCAAGGGAAAGCGTGGCCATGGCAATAAGCAAGTAATATAATCTTGGTATATGTTGTTAGCAATGCTACCTTTGCACCTTATGCACCAAGCAAGAAGTTCTCAGGGTCTCGGCTATCGCTTGTGACGACGAAGACGCTGCTCGATAGCGAATTGACTTGTTGGATTTCCTCAAGGAAGAGTTCCGGGAGTACTGCGCAGGCTCGTGAGCAGCGGCGAGTGGCGCTTCAAAGAGGTGCTTTAAAAAAATTTATCTGAGTGATCTTCCTTCTCTTTTTCCTTCCATGCAATGATTCTTTTCACTCTTAAGGGTTCTTCACTCACAGGAGGGATTTTTTTTCTCTCATGGCCGCTGCAAAGTAAGCTTTTGTTTTGGTCCTTTGCTGAAAGATATTCTTTCTTCTTGAAGTGATGAACTGCTGGCGGCGCTGGAATTGAATGGTCGGCCCCAAGAGTCACATCTTTTCGCCGCCAGTGGCCCGCTGGTCCAACCCGATCTGCCATCAAAGATCTGGCTCCATGGCACCGAAGAAGTCCCCCAACCAAGGTATTTCCCAGCTCCAGCGGTTACCTCCAGCAAAACCATAGATGCCTCCAAAGCCTCCTTCGAAGTAAGAGAACAGCCGTGGAAATTGCTTCCATGGCAGTGGGATGCCTGGGCCTTGCGATGGATGCACGAAACTTGGAAGGTCTGGCTTTGAGGGCGATGGCAACTTCCAGTTTCATGACAGAGTCGAGCGTGGAGTTTTTGCCACCATGATCATGGAAGTTCCCACTCTCGTCCAGTAGCGAGCGCGGAATTTTTGTGGTAAGACACAAGGACAAGACCTAGACCATCCTTGGACACGAGAGGCCATCGCCAGGAGCGTTTTACTACGCGGTTTTCTTCGCCGACTGCGAGCACCACTTGGTCAAAGTCACTCAAGGCACCACGGCGTGCATGGCTTTCAACTTGCTGGCCAAGAACTTGACAAGAGTTCCCGGTTTTTTGGAAGCTTGCTTGGCGACGCGATCGGCTCTCATGCATGGCTTCGAGAAAGACGATGCTCCAAAGAAGATGGTGATTCCATTGCAGCACCAATACTCGAAAACCGATCTAGATTTGATGAAACTCAAGGGGAGAGATAGCATGACTTTGGAGTTGCTTTGAAGCCATCGCAAGAATCCAGGCAGCTCCAGCGCTCATCAGCGACCAGCTTAAAAACGGCAAGGTTGAGTCGTTCTCGAGATACAGCACCAGCCTCGACGTCGACTTTAGCAGCTTGCATCTCCAAGATGACAATCATCACAAAAGTAGCTTGATCAGGGTGGACTTTAGAAGTTTGCGTCTGGATTGGATCCTCGGCGATCGTGAAAACAGTGGCTACGAAAATCATGCAGTGGTGGTCGTTTGGCCGAGCAGCAGTGACGTATACATGGTTTCGTGTGCGGCCTTGGATATACTGGAGGAAAAGAAAGAAGTAGCGTTTCTCCAGCAGGTACTTGAGGCTCTACCGGAGGTGATCAAGGCTCATGACTGGAGCATTAGTGCTCGTGATCACATTCACAGGCTGCTAAAAGTTTGCGTAGGCATTGGAGGTAAAGACGAAGTCCTTAAAGCTCTGGAAGTTCTAGCAAGGAACTATGACGCAGCGGTTCCGAGCAAGAAACTCTTACTTTCCGGGGTTGGAAGCCTGGAGGCGGCGAAAGTGCTTGCTTTAGCATTGAAGTCACATGGATGGAATGCTTATGCCACTGTCATCGTTGACAAGCTCCTTAGCGAGGAGCGTTTCGAAGACGAGGTGGAGAATTTTGTCCATCTTGCCTTGGAGCTCAAGAACTTGGATTGCTTGGCAGCTGCGTTTCATGTCGCTCGGAAGATTTTCTTGCTGTGCCACTTTATAAGTTCTCGGTCCGGGAGAAGCTCGAAGACTCCACGGGTGCTGGAATATGGTGTCTCAGGTTCTTGGCGATCACTTTCTTCCGGAGTTCTTGGAGAATCTAAAGACTGGTGCTACAACCAAGGCGCTGTGTTCTCTAGTCCTACAGCACGACAAGCTTGAACTCCAGGCAAAGCAAAGATTGTTTTCGATGGTCACGCAAAGGAACAATCTGGAAGAAGTTGCTCCGCCACTTCTCGTTGAAGTGGTGAGAGTTTTTGCATTGCTCGCCAATCCGGAGCTGCTGAATTCGTTCGTGGCCGCTTTGCTGCAGCAGGTGATAAGCAAAACGACGCTACTCGATACATTCTTGCAGGACGATCAGGATGGATGGATGTTCCTCTTGACAGTCAGGGGACTTATAGAGATCTGCGTGAACTGGAGGCAAGGTCCCTGGGGGATTTGCTCCGTAAGTGCCGATCATAAGATCCTGAAAGACGGAGGGTCCGTTTGTTCTTTACCAGGCTTTGCGAGATGGTCATGGACGTTTCCATCCACAATTCGGAAGAGTTTGAAGCCTTTCTGCTGGTGGACGAACTGAAGCTTCTCAACTCTCTTATCAAAGGCAATGCGGGCAGTGATCTTGTGGAAGCTCTCCTTCGAGTGGATGGAAACAAATGGACACTGCTCTTCTCGGTAGAGGGTTGCATGGATACGCTGGAAGGCAGCATTCGCACAACCGAGTCGTTCAGCTGTTCGTACGAACGAGTAAAGAGTGTGACCGACACTCTTTACTCGTTGCTCTTCAAGTGCCATGAAGGATTCCCCGCTTTGAAGCAAAACCCGGGAATCTTGGCATCCTTCACAAAGCTTTGCGAGATGATAACGTCCAGGCCACTCGAGGCTGAAAGATTTGGATGAGTGTCCTCGTTTGGCTTGGCAACGAGCAGCTTTTGGAAAAGTTGAAGGGGTCACTCTTGGCTTGATCTTGAGAGAAGCTCTCGAGAAGGAAGATAACTGGATGATGCTGCCGGAGATGATGCTGGATCTCGCAAAGTCACGGGTGGAGAATTTGTCTCATATTAGATGCCCAGAGTTCACCTGGAGACGGTCTGCGCGAAAGTGTAAACTATCCGATCATCCTGAAGTAAGGACGTTTCTGGAAAGTTCACAGGAAGAGCTGAAGTACACTGGAAAGTTTAAGAGAATCCATGGAGCTCGAAAACTTGCACGCGAGATCAACAGCTTGAAGGAAGCTGGTTGCTTGGAAGCGTCTGCGACTGATGGTGGAAGTGGCCAGAAAGCCTTTGTCTTCATAAGAAAGACCCAAGACTCTTTCCAGGAAGTATCATGATGCTCAGAAGGAGATCAAGGAGCGCAAAGCTAGAGATTGATTCCTTCATTGCTTAAACCACGAGCCCAAAGCAAGGGATTAAAAATCCAGCTAAACTTGCAATAAACCAGATTATTTATTTTCACAAAGTTATTTTTACATTCAAGTGAACGTAGCCTTGAGCTGCCGAACCGCATTCTCATCAATAAAGAAGGTCTTGACGAGCACCTCGTCCAGGATGTCCGATCCAAACATGGAGCTTGCGATAGCCTGGAAGCCCGGTGACTGCGAATCCAGCGTCACGATGGCCATGGCGGTGGTGTTACCAACGTTGAGCTGCCAGTGGATCAAACCCCGCGGGAAGATCATCACATCGCCTTTGGAGATGACCTTAGCAAAGAGCTGGTTCTGGGTGGTGACGAATCCGGCGTACAAGCTCCCTTCCGCGACGTAGATGATCTCTGAGCCTCGCGGGTGCGTGTGTGGAGGGATGAGACCGCCGGGAGCAAAGTCGAGCCTGGCTATGGAGAGGCCGAGAGAGTTGAGCCCCGGATAAGTGTCGACGAAGCCAAACACCGCGTCGGCTCTCGATGGGCCGCTGGTGTTTGCGGAGTTTCGAAGGCCCGAGAAGATGAAATCCTCGGTGGTGGTGTTGGTTGCTCGCTTGCAAGGGTAGCCATTGAGAGTGAGGTCCTTTGCGAGGTCAGCCACGCAAAAGTCCTGGAGGGGATCGGCGTCGGAGGCTGTGATCACCTGGAAGATTGGTGCCGCGATGACGAGAAGTTGGAGGAGTGTGATCATCATCGTGTTCTTGAGTGATCCCTGGAACTTGAGGAAACAAACGAGAGAGCAATGCTAAGAATTAGAAGAGTGACCTCTTTCTTTCCGATGGTTGTGAAAGTATTTAAAGGATGGAAAGGCTTGGAGAAGGTTCCATGAAACACAGGAGTTGCGATGGATCCATCACTCTGTGTTGGGACTGTGTCCATTGAAGGTTTCCTGTGCGCCACTACTTATTACGTCAATTGACAAAATCTTACTTGCGTCATTATTATTATTCTTATTATTTTTATTTTTGCATTAGAAGAAGTGTACATTAAACTTTCTAATTGAATTTTCTTAATTAAATTAGTATAAACAATGTGCTTAAAAAACTTTGTCACTGTTATGAATTATCTTTAGAAAATAAGAAATGATATATGCTTAAAATGTAAAAATAATTTATTTTGTATTCAAAGACTATTAACTTTTCCTCTTTCCACTACTTTGCTATATCTTTAGATAAATAATTCATTTTATACAAAATATTAATGAAATTAAAGTGTAAAATAATGAAATAGTAAGTAAATATTATAATTAATATTTTTTATAAAGCCATATACTATCTTATTTCTAAAATGGTTTGGATCATTTAAAAAAGATTTTTTTATAACTTAGAGTTTTGGTTTTGCACTTTTAAACAAGATTTATTACCATTACTAAATTTACCCACACATAAAAACTTAAAACTTATTTATAGTGATATATGATAAACATTATACAAAAAATATAAGAGAGGTTGTAACATAGGACAATATGAGTGATATATTTATTAAAAACAAAAATTATTTAATTTAAATAGAGTTGTGAGGTCTAAGTGTACGGCTACAATATTGTATATTAATATTAGCATAGTGAGATTTTGATAGCTGTCGGATTGATTTCAATCTAAACCACTCACTCCTGTATATAAGCTAGGGTTTTTGGGTTAATTGATATATACATTTTTTGTATTCCCTTTCTATATTCCATACACTCATATTAATGGAGATGAGGGGCATTTTTTATTGTCCCTCAAAAGTGCTTAGATTTGGGATTTTATTTAAATCTAACTTTTGCATAATTTAAATCTAATTTTTCCCATTTCCTTTCTTTTGTTCTTTCCTTTCAGGATTTTGGTTTAGATTTAGCTTTTGTATTGTTTAAATCTCCCTTTCTTTTTAACTTTTTTCATTTATCTTCTTTTGCTCTTTATTTTTCATTCCATCTTCATTGTAGAGCAATAGTCTCTTGCTCCCTTGACTTTAGAGTAGTAGTTGGTGCAATTGCTCAATACTATGTAATTGCAATTGAACAACCAATTCAGTTGATGGTGGCAATCATGACACATGGTATAACTCCTCCTGCTCTTGGTGTCAATCTTTATGTTTAGCCAAAGTTCTTTTGTGAAATCCTAAGGATGGTGTGTACTATTGATTTGATCACTTCACAATGATTGCCATATATCATTCTTGGGATGATGCTTAATATTTTCATGAGTTTTCACATATCTCCAAGGGACACCATTGTAGTGGTACAATGGTTTGAGTATAACCACTTGTGAGGATTGAAAGATTCATTTGGATGTTTTCAAATGTGCATTCGAACATGCTGACAATTGTGATAATGCCTTTCAACAATTGCATCATTTTCATCAAAATCCATCTGAGTCGGTGATACAATTTGGCATTTGTTTCCGAAGTCTTTTGCTTTGTTCGGAGTTAAATATATCAGAGTGGATCAAGTTAAAAATGTTGTGGCCAGTACTTT